ATAGGCAAAGTATGATCGCTGACACTGACATTTCGTATTTAAAATATCAAAATGAAGAGATGGAGTATGATTGCCAATGAAACCACTATCCAAAATGGCACGAATTTAGGCGTTATATGTCAACGATGAAATAAAAAACAGTCAGGTGTGAAACGACTCGACATGACAAAAGTGAAACGATTCAAACAATAAAAAAAACCAACGGTCTGATTTATGAAAAGAAAACAATAAACGAAAAACAGACAAAACAGACAACAACTAACGACAACATCTAAATTACACGTCAGGCTCCCGACTTGTGACAGATGTATAAAGAATGTGGCGGAGTTCAACATGTTTGAGAGCGCTCTACCCTCCCCTTACATGGGACAATGGTGTACTAGCATTACATAAGATCTACCTGTAAAAATAGATATGGCTTGACTCATCATATCAGCACGAAGCACAAAAACCCCAACTAACATGAAGAAAAAAGACACAAAGTACTGATCTAAGAGTACTTGCAGCTACTGAAAGTTAGTTAAAAGGCAAAAACAACTAACATGAAGAAAAAAGACACAAAGTACTGATCTAAGAGTACTTGCAGCTACTGAAAGTTAGTTAAAAGGCGAAAACAACTAACATGAAGAAAAAAGACACAAAGTACTGATCTAAGAGTACTTGCAGCTACTGAAAGTTAGTTAAAGGGCAAAAACAACTAACATGAAGAAAAAAGACACAAAGTACTGATCTAAGAGTACTTGCAGCTACTGAAAGTTAATTAAAAGGCAAAAACAACTACTAGTACTAAACAATAATGTCGCGTTCTCCCAGACTTAAGTTTTGATAATTACACTCCCGATGTATTTAGTGTTAAGAATTCATAAACAGTCTGCGAAAAGCGTGACCTCGTAAATGCCGTAACATAAGTACATTAATTTGACAGGATGTAGCAACATAACTTTTCATAAATGTAAAGAAATCAATATTTAGCTATGTTTAATTTATCAAAAACAAAAAGCTATATTTTAACATCTTTCTACGGTGTTAAAATGATATTCAAAGGATCAATAAGTCTACATGGATCGTGTTTCAATTTACGTACTTTATAAACAACATAACCGTTAACAATAGGAAGTGATATCCTGTTCTATAAGAATTCTACAGGTACAGTCACACTTCAAATACGCATCTATGAAAGAATTTAGTAAAATGTTTAAGTAATTTATGGTAACGAAACCAAATCCCTGACTATAAGTAATATGAACCTTTTAATTTAAAAAGTTGAACATGTTTTATATGCTTGAATTGCTACTTTTTACTATGAAATACGTTAACATAAAATTTCTTTCCAAAGAAAATCCTCTTTTTTATCGAAATTTTCAGAAATGTACTGCTATTGAATTATTTTCCTCCCGTACTCTAATTGACCGACAGCTTTTCCTTATGAAGTTATCTTAACCATGACACTTCGGCAACTGCACAGCGCAAGTGTGAGTGAAAACCGGGATGAAAGAAAAGGTAAACAAACGTTGGAAGAAGATAGTATTAATCGATTCTAAAAGAAAACAGTTAATACACCTAACAACTGTCATGGCATAGTTAAATTAACAAATGGGAACGCACCGAAAATATAAACGACTGCAAATATACAACGCTTTATCATCTCACTTTGTTCACGTGCTCTATGATTCTGTGTTTATTGTTAAATTTATCAATAGGTAATGACTGGTAAACTTCGGCATCAAAATCTGAACGTTAATAAGTTATCAATTAAACAGACTTTAGACGGTTCTCTACTGAGTTAGACTCAAAATCAATTTTGGATTTCCCTATCAATATTGCACAGTATTTACCACCTTCCAAGTCCCATAATACACGATCCAATCGTTTAACTAAGTATTTCTATCTTAAATGGTGGTTGCTACTGTCACTATTCTTCCGAACTATTCGATTGTATCACGGACATAACCTTTTGCTATTACTCATTTGTTATTTTGCTATTGAACATATATTTCAGGACTTGGTTTTGGTTTGTATTTAAACGATAAGTTGACAGTTGATATATCCATAAAGATGTCTTGCCTTATTTCTCATTTTACAGATGCACTTGATTCGTTTCTTTTGAAACAATCTTGAAATGTAGGTAATGATCGATTTCAGACTCTGTTGATTTATAGTTATACATAAAACTCAAGTTTAATCTTAAAATTTATTTACTTTTTCCCGAAAAATCGAAGGATAAACAACCAAATAGGAAACCAGTATATGACTGTTAATAAATATCAACTATAATCTATCAGTCGATTGATTTTAAAAAATCGGGGAAATATTTACAAATAAAATCTACTGACTTACTTACTTGACCTAAAAAATCTCAACTTATACTTTAGTTTTATTCAATTAGATTGCAAATGACTATTTTGCAAATCCTCTTTTGTTTTAAAATTGCTTTCACTTGATGTCAGTTTTTACTTGCCAGAGGAAATGTGCTCTACAATTTTTATATGCAATGGAAAAAATTCTATATCCGGAAATACAATCGCAAGTAATTAAAAATCATCAACTCTGTCATATTTGACATACATTTGTTGAATTTTTTTTCCAAATGATTTTTCTCTTACGTCAGTTAGGGGAAACATAGAATAAAGTATTTACAACGGATAGTACAATCATTTGACATGCAATAACAGTTCATTATAAGTCATTTTACATACATTGTTTGGCCGAACTGATAACTTTTGCCGGTCTAATTGTCACATGTTCTTCTTCTCCGGAAATTCATTTAAGGAAAATCAGTGCCAAAAATTTTTAAATCTAGTTAATAAAATCGTTTTATGGAGTAATGCGTACTGCCGGGAGCTCTCATATAGCGATAAACGTTTGATAAAATGAAGAGCAGTTTACTAAAGGCAGCCTAAAAGAAAAGAAGTCTTCTGCTCAAGAGGGGTAGATCCTTTGTATTTGTTTTTTTTTGTTTTTAATTACAGTGTCATTTTAATAGGTATATCAGTTAGTTTCCATTTTCATAAAAGAAATGCATTGACTATACACCTCGTTTTATTAGGAAAAAATGATATTGTCAATAACATGAGTATTCAAATCTACCGACAATTGAAACATTTGACACAAGTTGTAAGTCGAATTATAAAATTATATATTTAAACATTTAAACACAGGGAGACATTAGAACTTTAACTCATCTGTGAAGAGCAATTTCACCAAACAATCTTTGCAATATAGCCTTTCAATTTAGAAGCGTATAATCAGATCACTTAAGATAAATTAGTAATGAATAAGCAAGGGCGGATCCAGGATTTTTGAAAGGAGGTCGTAATACCATATACTTTGGACGCTTTTTGCGAGAAAATGAATGAATGAATGAACTTCATTATCATAAAACTACATATCATAGTTACAGAGAAAATATATATTTACAATTACATATATCTATATATAAACATGCACATGTGTGAACAAACTTATTTGGAGGACTGACTTTCACCTGTATAATTTTTATAAACTTACATGATTTTTATAAAATGATAATATTGTCTGATGTATATATTTGCCAAACTTAAAGGGGGGACTAATGTCCTCTATCCTCACCCCCCCCCCCTTTTTGAATCCACCACTGAAAAGTATTTGAAATATTGTATAAAACATATAAATATTGTTGAAGACTACATATGAGACTACTTGTTTTTCGGGTATTTTTCTAGATCATCGTGCTGTAACTTATTTTAGGTTCTTATGGTAATAATAGGAAAGTTTTTACTAAACTTTTTGTTCACCGAGAGGTTTTATATCGAGACTCACGTAAATTCTAGCTCGGGAAACGTTAAATGTTAAATGTTAATATTATGTGACAAAGAGAACCTCGTTCAACTTTGCTTTTGGAGCGAGTGAAGATAAAACATATCTATAATCAGATAGGGGTATTAAACTTCAGTGTGATTTGTAAATGTGGTGTATTAAAAAAATGGTTAAGAAACTGGTCTTTTTCAGACTGGACAAGTAGCTACTGTAAAGGCAACGCAGAATATCAGTCTAATCGGTATTAATGTCAGATAAGTTTGATTTGTGTTTAGCCCCATTTCAGCACTATCGGCTATTTCTTAGCGGTTAATTTGTATTGGTGGAGGACGCCAGAGCACCGATGAGAACCAACGACCTTCGGCAGAAAAACTGACAATCCTAATCAATTAAGATTGGAGTCTAGCACACCTACCATGTGTGAGTTTCGAACTTACAACCTCAGTGTTGACAGCATAGTAACACAGTAGTTGGACTAATTAGGCAACTCTGCCTTCGAGGCCTCTGTCAGGTAAGATAGTTTGCATATACATGTAGAGAATATCTACTGCAATATTGTTACATAACAGAGCACCAATTAAACATTTGCAAACAAGCAGAAAAATACTTGTCAAAGGAACGGAGCGTTGGTTGCACGATCCGTTTTGCTCTTCAACTTCGTACATTATTTGGCCTTTCATCTTTTTTATTTCGAACGTCACTGATGAGTCTTTTATAGACGCGACAAGCGTCAGGCGTACACAATTAAATGCCTGGTGTCTATGACGAGTTTATTTACATAGTACTATGCTTAACTCGGTGTGTGTCATCACTATTGTCATGGGGTTTCCATTTTTAAGTTACAGGAAATTAGTCTAAAAAATCAATGCAAGCCAACAACACATTTACCTGTACAGTTAACAACGTGTTCTCGAAAAATAAATGGTCAATATCGAATAACAATCAAAATTCCCTGACAAGTTGTGAATCAATTCAACAACAACAACATAAAGGCAGCAGTATCCACTGCCGATATTTGACTTTAGGCAGGCACAGAATCTAAGTAAGGGGTAAAAGTGGAGTTTATTGCGCGTGGAAACAATATAATAAGTTTTTGTTTTAAAAAATGCAATACTTGTAAACGCATCTGAGTGCTCATTTGCCGCAATGTATATACATAGCCTTTTGTACTAATGGGATGAAAAGCAATCACATGCACTCTGGAATTATTTATAGTAATTTAATGTAAAATGCCATGCGAGATTATTTCAATGTTTACTCGAAAGAAAATTTTTAAAATATGTTGAGACATATTTATTAAATATGTTAAACAAACAATTCAATGACATAGCCATAAAAGCTAAATATAAAACACATTTACTCGCTGTAGAGTTCGGATCACGGCTTTTGCGGAGATTGACGTTGGTGTCTTGTTTTGTTTTCAGTTCCAAATAATTTTGACATTTTTCTCGATACTGCCATAAAATAATATCATCGGGATGGTTCATGTTAAATCCAAACTTTTGCAATAATGAGTTTGTCTGAGGGTTTAGAACATCATGGGAGAATTTACAATTCGAACGTGTACATTTCCCAGCAAACCAGTCTTTACAAATGTGAGGGAACGGACATGCGTCGTCTGCAATAAAACATCCTTTGTCATTATAATAATAGCACGGTCCTGATATCGTTTTAGATGGAAAGTCTTTGAGCCATTTATTACACTTTTCCTTATAAAGTTTTGACAGACGAGAGTATTGTTTCTCAACAGGAAATCCGCATTTTTTAAGTTTTTCTAACGATTCTTTGTTGAGCACGTGATGTTTGGTACACATATCTTTGCATCCATCGTCTGACAAAATAAATTTAGCACAAACATGGGGCCAAATGCATGGAGAATGAGGGGTATCTTGGTTATAGTTGATGCAAGGTAGTGGAACAAATGAAATAGTCAGCATCGATCCTTGAAATTCTGAAAAAAGATAAATCAAGATATAGTGTATTAGTAAAAGATCTGGCGCTGTGGCACAAACGAAATAGTCAGCATCGATTCTGGAAATTCTGAAAAAGATAATTCAAGATATAGTTTATTAGTATAAGATCTAGCGCTGCATATTCTATAATTGTTCAAATAACAAATGTTAATCGTACATCATTTGCAGAGTTTGAAATCCCAGTATATAATAATATATGTGTGTGGTTTTTTTTTCAGCAGTTGAAAAAGAGGTCAGTGTTGTGTGGAGATCATTGTTTATTTTCCGAATCATCCTCATATTTCCCAATGAAATATCAAATAAACTATAGTGTCTAAAAAGACACGTGTTTTTAATACTTTCTATCAACATCTAGTAAAGAATTCCGCACAAACCGTTACTAGGGACTGGCTCGAATTTGACGAGAGATGTGGGCTATTATTTAAGGTATCGCTGCGAATTTCAAACGAAGAATCGCAGGAAACACTCTGTTCCTTTGCTTTTTGTTGTGTCAAGTTCATGTCGGGAATTCATATTATAAACACAAAAAAAAATACTCCTTCTTTTCATTTTTCATACAATTATCATTTTATGATTGACACCATATATATGCTATATGAGGGTCTGGATTGGGTATACAGATTTGAGGACAATAGCCTAAAAAATTAAGAATAGAGAAAAGGGCCAAAAAGTAAAAAGTAAAATATAACAAGCATTCTGAGAGTATTGCATGGCAATACATAGTCCCCTACCGGGTAAAAATTCGTTTTACTGGAACAAAATGCTAACTTGTTCTATAACTTGTCATGGTGTAAACAAAAAGTAAATATCATGTCAATATCTTCAAGCATGGTTAAAATCAGTGTGGAAAACTGATTATATGAGTGAAAAAAACATAAGATATGTTTAATAGTTCTCTAAAATAAGATATGATGTAATACAGTGTATATCTATTTTCAAATTATAATCAAATATAATTAATAGTTCCAAATATTTTTTCTTTCATTTGTCACAAACTAATATAGATTTGTAACTTATCTATAAAATGTCAACAACATTTATCTACACAATGTAATGTATTGAAATATATACATTAATAAAAATAGATTATTATCTAATTAAAGGATTTCTCTTCATAAATTTTTCTTTATATATATATAGCATTCAGAAATTAGTTTATACTAAATAACAAACAAACCTGCTAAAAAATCCTTCAAATAATTTAACAATGAATGTCTTTTAAAAAATGAGTTATCTCCCTTTGTACAGAAATATGGTTTAACATAGTACTCTAACATTAGATATGGTCCAGAGTTATGGTCCATAACTCTGGACTAAATTATCAGACCGGAACAAAATTCGAACTTGATCTGTAACTTGTCATGATAAAACAATATACCAAATATCAAATCAATATATTCAAGCATGAAGAAAAAAAGTGTGGAAAGCTTATTTGCCGGACTGACAGAAGGACAGACAGACGGACAGACAGACGGACGGGGTGCAAACCTAAAGTCCCCTTCGACTTCGTCGGTAGGGGACTAAAAATACCGAACTCCAAGGAAAATTCAAAAAGGAGAGTCCCTTATTAAATGGCAAAATTAAAAGCTCAAACACATCAAACGAATGGAAAACAACTGTCATATTCCTGACTTGGTACAGGTATTTCCTTATGTAGAAAATGGTGGATTGAACCTAGTTTTATAGCTTGCTAAACCTCTCATTTGTATGACAGTCGCATAAAATTCCATTATATTGACAATAATGTGTGAACAAAACAAACAGACATCATAGGTAAAAATGTCAAAAAGAGGGGTACAGCAGTCAACATTGTGTAAAAACCTTAATCACTATAAAAACAATATAAAGAACAGAGAATAATGAAGCGCCAATTATATAAAATATAAAGATGAGAGAATAATGGGGTGCTAAAATATAAAGAATAGATAAAAAAGGCTACACAATTGAAGAGTGCGGACGAATACAACATGAATTGCCAAATATATTACCAAAAATATATTCAGTTGAAATCTATTAAAAGATTATGAAGAAATTTAAGAGGCGGAAGACACCAAAGGAAGAATCAATAAAGTCGAAGCGAGACAATATCATGGCATGTAGAGCGACGAAAAAACAAACAACAGCCTACAAGGATATTCCCAACGGTAAATTACCTGTAATTTCCATATCATTAATAACATCTACAATATCCGGCATCTTTTCGTCCAGTCCAGCTTGCAACAACATATATGTGTATGGCTTAAGTGCTTCAGGTACCTCACAACTGTCTAATTTTAAAACAATTGGCGGAAAACCTTTATTATCCATGTGTAATTGGACAATTTCAGTCATTTCAATGTGGCACCAATAACTATTTTTGAAGTTTTCTGATAGAAGGACAATAGTTTTCAGAGATTTTTTCATACATTGTTTAATGTTGTCCTCTATAAGATGTCCAGCTTGAAACTCAATTTCGTGTAAACAACATGTAAAGTTACTTTCGCTTAGTTTCGTAAATAAAGTATGTGCGATCTGTCGGTCTGGTTCCATTGTTGCGTATGAAATGAACACGTGGTATGTTTTCCCATCTGGAAGTGCAAACGGTTGTCGACCTCCATTTTCTATATATCTGCAGTGCTTCATTGTTCTTTTTTTTTTCTTTCTTTCACTTTGTTTTTACATTACATTGTATTTGTTTACTCTCTCTCGCAACAGTCTGAAATACGAAAAAAATTATTTGATACACGTCATGGTGGACCAACGTCAATGAATATAAATAATAGTTGTTGGATAAGCAACTAAACGACACAAATGACAGATAAGACTCAAGTTTATGTCTTCTACAATAGACTGGTGAAATTAGAAAAGCTGAGAGGAAAAATATTTATGATATTTTAAAAGTTTATTTACTTTATTCCTGGTTCATGATATTTTTTGCCGGAAAGATGCGTATAGTTTATATTGCAATGACTTCAAATAATATAGCCATCTTGTCACAGCGAAAAAAAACCCGCTGTATTGTCTTTACAATTGAGGTTTTAACCGGCTGTTTATCAAATAAGCATGGTTAGATCATAGAAAATAAAACTTGGTGGTAAAAGTTTTTCTGTTTTTCTTTTAAAACAATTTAGTGTATAACATTTTCCGTTAGGCAACAAGATTTTTAGTTCATTTCAAAAAGTATAGCCGTTTTGTCACAACGTTAGAAAAACGTGATTGATGTCATGCTCGGGTTTTTAATTTTATATTTTATAATTATTTGTTTCCAGTTTAACTCGAATGAAAAAAAGAAATATAAGTTATAATATAACCCAAGTATTAGAAAGGAAAAGTTTAAGTTTAAATTCAAATGTCGATCAAATGAGGTTGATATATAAAATATCGGGATTATCGTTTTTTGGCATATTTGAAATTGAAAAGAAAAATGTATAATTTTATTGTAAATGAAAAAAAAAATAGAGAAAAACCATTGCTAGCAATTATAAGAAACAAAGGACATGCATAATGCCACAAAAGAACGGAGATGAGAAAAACATGACTCCCAAATGTTTAACTACCGAGATATTTTGCTACAAAGAGAGCATCGGGAAATGATAAAACATAGAAATGAAAGGAAACGGAAAGAAATGCGACAAAAGAATATATGTATATGCAAAAAGTAGGAAATGTAAATTCAATACCTAATTTATATTTTTTTTAAATCTGTAAATTTGCCGGAAATTAATGTATGCATCCATTAATGCGAACTGCTGGCAAACGGAAAATTTTCAATTGTGGCCTGGAAAGATTGTAAAACTATGCATTTTTAGACAAACCGGAAGCTGGTTACCAAATTCACTTCAGTTAATTGAACTCATCAATTAAAGCTTGAACGCTTGAAACGTTCTTTGAAATCGTCCAAATCGCCTTATTATAAGGAACGTCGTGTAACGCTCACTAGTATCAACATCGTGCGCAACGTATCTAAGACTCAAATTTTATTGTAATTTTAGTATCAGTCTATCATGTCTTTGGACAGTGCGAATCGAAAACACGTTTCATATGTAGAGTTATGATATTTTCTTTTGTAAACGAGATGCATTTTGGGAAAATCGCATACGAATATCCTATTTGTAGGAAAGAAAAAAAAGCTTTTCGGGAAATGAATATTTTTCCTTTTGAAAACAGGGACGATTTCCCATGCACTGTGTACATATAATTCCAAGAATTTTGTATTTATACGAGAAAATAGGTAAAAAAGACGAAACCTATTTGTACAATCTATAATTTTGAAGTACAAATACTAAGACAATTATGTAGCAAAGACAATAGAATGAACTCTCAATTTGTTCGATTGCATTTTAAACCATAATCACGTGTATTAGATTGACAATGGTATATAATGGTATATTTTTATATATGACTGCGATATTTTTCTTATAGAATAGCAATATTGTTTTTATAGTGAAAAAAATAATAATGTTATACTTTTCTCATAGAACTGCAATATTTTCTTCATATGAAAACGATTACGACATTATGCAAAATGCATTTAAAACAAACAAGAAACATCGTCATTAATTCATGACAGGAAAGGTAGAATAGGCAACTTATGATTGCTGACACTGATAGTTCGTACATGAAATATAATAATGAAGAGATGGAGTATGATTGCCAATGAGACAACTACCAAACAGGGTCCAACTGACACGAGTTTAAGCATTATATGTCAACGAAAGGCATTCAACAATTAGAAAACCTCAGTCAGCTTTGGTACGACTCGACATGACAAAAGGGAAACGATTCAGACAAAAACAAAAAACAACGGTCTGATTTATGAAAAAAAAAACAATAAACGAAAATCAGATATAACAGACAACAACTAACGACAACAACAACATTACAGGCTCCCGAGATATATACAGAATGTGTTGGGGTTCAACATGTTTGAGAGCGCTCAACCCTCCCCTTACCTGGGACAATGGTGTACAAGCATAACATAAGAACTACCTGTAAAAATATAACTTGATGGCTTGACTCATCAGATCGATACGAATCACACAAAAAAACCCTTAACTAACACGAAGAAATATGACACAAAGTACCGATCTAAGCGTACTACTTGCAGCTACTGAAAATTACTTATAAGACTATAACAACTACTAAATAAATGGGGAATGTGTCCATGGGACACAGATGATGCCCCGCTTGCATATCATATAAAGTTATAAAGGGACATTACTGAAGAACGGTAAAAGTAACGCTACCCAAACTTGTACTTGATCTGTGTTTCGTGGTAATAAGTATTATGTATAAGTTTTATAACATTTGGTTGAGGTTTACTTAAGTTAGAGAACGGAAACGAAAAATTCAGCATTTTTTCATTTTTAAACGGGCATAACTCTAGAACGGTTAAAGTGACGACAAAATTCGAACTTGATCTGTGTTTTGTGGTAATAAGCATTGTGTATAAGTTTCATAACATTTGGTTGAGGCAAGCTAAAGTTAGAGAACGGAAACCAACTTTTGGACGTACGGACGGACAAGGGTAAAACTTTGTGTCCCCTCCGCTACGACAGGGGCATAAAAATCATGCTATCCCAGACTATCGTTTAAATAATTATACACTTCTTATGGATTTGGTGTTAATACTGCATAACCGGTCTCGAACAGCGTGACCTTGTAAATACCGTAACATAAGGGAGCAACCATTTAACTTCAAAAAAGGGGGGGGGGGGGGGGGGTGTTATGGTTTTTGACTGATGTCTGAGTCGGAATTTTTTTTTCGTGCAAAGCGTGAACATTTTTTTTAGGTTTTCGACGCTATCGATCAAATTATTTAACACTCTAAGGTATGGGGAAAATCTGGACCCATATTTTTTTTTTGTCAAAGTGGGGATCAGAATATTTTTTAAGGACAAAAACATAACACCCCCCTTTTTTTGAAGTTAAATGGTCGTTCCCTAAGGATAATAGTTTGACAGGGTGTAGCACCATAACTTTTCATAAGTGTAAAGAAATCCATATTTATCTATGTTTAATTTGTCAAATACAAAATCCATGTCATTACGGATAAAAAAAATAATCCATTTCTACGATGTTAAAATGATATTAAAATGATCAATATATAAGTCTATATATACACGGATCGTGTTTCCCATTCGTACTTTATAAACAACACAATCGTAAACAATGTATAGGAAGTGATGTCCCGTTTTTTTACGAATTCTACAGGTAGTCACGCTTCAAAAACAAATCTTTGTATCTATGAAAGAATTTAGTAAAATGTTTAAGTAATTTATGGTAACGAATACTCTAACTTAAAGTAATATGATACATGTGTACTTACAATTTCAAAAGATGGATAGGTTTTAAACACTTGAGTGGCTAAATTTTACTATGAAACACGTGTACATAGAATTATTTCAACAGAAAATCTTCTTTTTGTCCAAAACTTCAGAAATGCTATTAATCATTATCTTCCTGTACTCTAATTGACCGACATTAAAACAATCTAATTTTAAAAATATTTTTTTTTTTTCGATTCGCACTTTCCAAATAGACTGTGAATACTAGTATTTTAATCTCGCACTTTCCAAATAGACTGACAATATACCAGTATTTTAATCTGACAGTGTGATAGATGGCTCCTTATCGTCCAGTGTCAAACATTACATGCATATTATTGATATATTACGAATTTATATTATACATGTGTCGAGTTTTGGTTTTGTGATTGGATAAAGGAGACGTCAGCATATATTATGATCGACCGGATTTTAAAGTGCAAGCTCGCAAGGTAAACTTCAGAGGAAAACATGTCTCCTTGTCAATTCTTCTTAATAAATATAAACTCATAATTATGCTTTTTACTAAAAGTTGCATGCATAGCAGGAAAACAGCCGAAATGCCAATTCTGGTTTGACCATGGATACAAAAACTACGGGTTAAGAAGATGGGAGGCCTAGAGATTTCACCTAAAAACTTAAAAGGGGGCATGCCTACGTTTCGCAGAGATTTACTTGTTATGAAGACAAATTTGATGGTATTGGGTTCTAACAATGGATCCGTCCTCTGAGATCACATTCGCACAAATAGGAATCATATTTTACAATACAATCTTAAATAAGAATTTTCTATGGACCGTCTTATGAGGAACAAAATGTTTTTAATCTCAATGCCGTTTTCTCCCAGGATAATCCCAAGAAATTAACTAAACAAAACAGACGAAACAAATAAGATGTAACATAAAAAGAGAACTTTTAGAAATTAATTCAGGATTTGAAAGAACCTTAATATTGTTGTTTAAAATGATATATAATATATAACAATTAAATATTATCCTATGGTAAACACATATGAAATATTTGCCACTGGACGTTATGCAAACAACAACAATCAATCAATCAATCATAGACAATGACTGATCATAGTTGTCTCATTGACAATCATACCAGACCTCCTTATATTCGTATTTATAAAGTTACAGACAGCTTGTTTAAAGTTTAAATTTAGGAATTAAACTTTCCTGTATTTTTATATTACTTGTAAATTGGCACATATTACTTTTAGTTATTCTTCGTACTTTATACAGTTAACTTTACATTATGAGACTAATAGATTGATGTATAAGTCCAGGTTTACAGTTAATAGTGATTAATTAGTAATAGGGAAACAAACGATTATATCCCATCATGATTTTCAGAAGATGTAAAATTCAGTATGACAAAAATCCATGGACGCAAATTCTATTTAAACTAGACATTTGTTACCCTCCATCTCGGCCACCATATCATGACTGAAGATCGACGAATTTAAACCCCACGAAGGCCTCATGTATATCATAAATTTTGCCGGAATGCGGAAGACAGATATATTGTAATGTGCAATCACTTCAACTGAACCAAGGATAATGATTAAAAACATTTAAAATTATTTTTTAAGCTTATAAAGCATGAAAAATCTTACCTTGGTCCGACAATTCCTTCTTTAGTACACGAAAGTGTTTATTTTTACCTATGACAACACATCTGTGACAGTTTAATGACCTAGTTTTCCTCCAGTCGATTTCATTTAATAGTTTGTTGACGTCATAGACACATTATCTAGATATCATATATATTCAAATCAGCGAAGCGCTGACACACATCAGTGATTCATACGAACTTTTTTTTGTGTAAAGATGAGATGCAATTATTTAGAATAAATTTCCATAATTTCAATTACTGGTATATGTTTTCAGATAGTAAATTCCAGTTAATAATTAGGGGACAGATCTTAGACTAAAACTTGATGACCATATTTTGTCAAAAATTGACACACGTTAGATGCATTTATATTCCCTTTTTTCAAGCCAAAACTTCAAGATTTTAAAATTATTTCAACTGATTATCAATGTAAATCTTTGTGACAGTGTTTACTCTTTTTACAAACATGTCAAAATTAGACTTTTGTTTAATATCTCAGATTAAGGATTAAGAAATTTTGTAATTGTTTTCATCCAAGTGTGGTCTTTAACAATAAGTTTGAAATTAAATGATAAATAATCTGAATTAGCACTTTATAGTTAAAGCTGTTATTTTCTTTGTAGTTTAAGTGAAAATGTAGTTATTATGTAATGTTATGTTTGAAAGTTATGTTTGGTAACCCACAAGATCTTATGTTGTCAACAACTAGCTATAGATTAAAAAGAACTAGTCCAGCCTTTTTTCATTAAATAAAGGTTTATGTATGATAAGACAATCATTTTATTTTGTGATTGTTAGGTCAAGCAATATAAAGAGAAGACTTTGATTTTAAATTAAGAAAATAAGAGAATTGAAGCTAAGATATTATTGAGATTAATGGGTACATAAGCAAGAACTGCAATTCTGAATTGGATTGTACATAAGTATATATTATATTTGAATTTGGAAATAATTAATATTAAAAATACAACGAAAATGCATTGTTGAAATATATTTGATGATGACCACCACAGCCAGGCCCAACCTTGACCACCCACCAAGTGATCCATCAACTCTACCATGTGTGAGCTAGCCAAACTCACAGTATACCAATGATGAGGGTCAAGGTGCATACCGAGGGGCACTTCACCCGTGTCAAATTCTCACATTGATTCAATTATGCTGACACCTATTATTGTCGAGGTTGGATCCATGAGTCTTAAATGGGGCATATTTGCCAAAAATAGTATTTGTATTCATTTGGTATGATTTTATGCCATGAAAATTATATTTTTTCTGATCAAAGAGGGGTGTATGCCCTCAGCTATGCACCACGCTTGAATCAGCCACAGAATGTACATGTATAATGTGAGAGAAATTTAAAATACCAGATTTATTGAACATGTAAAAAACTGGTTTCTACTTTTATTTGGAAATCATACTATTTCATTGCTGTTAATGTAATAGTTAAGGTTTCGTTAATTGAGTGAATGAAATTATTTAGAAAAAAACATATAATATATTACATATTCGAATACAGTGACAATCATTGCATGTCAAAGAAACACCTAATGGTGTTTTGTACTAAAATAAATTGCTTCGCCGAGCGCAGCTGGATATGACCGCAGAGGTCCAACCCTGAACAGTTGGGGCAAAAATGGACACAATATTCGCGCTTGATACAGGTCTGAATTTGGATTGTAATTAAATATTTGACACATAATAGGTTTCTGACACAGAATAGAACTTAGAATTGGTTATATGATTTGATTTTATATTCAATTTATGCTTTTGTGCAATACACTATGCTGTTGCGAATTGACCCCCCCCCCCCCCCAAAAAAAAAAATTATACCCCCTTTTCTTGCTTTTGTGCAATACACTTTGCTGTTGCCAATTGACACCCCCCCCCCCCCCCCCCACCAAAAAAAAAAATGTACCCCCCCTTTTTTCTTTTTAATTTCTGAAATCTGAAATGAGAAAAAAATTGCCCCCCTCTCATTTTCTATTTCTTTTATACACCCCCCCCCCTTACAATTTTTTTTCCTCCCCCCCCCCCCCCTTTTTCCAAAAAAAAAAACTTTCCCTCAAGATATGGTCATAATCTCAATTCAAATTTCCAATGGAGTTTGCAACCATAATTACCCATTTAAATACATCATAAAAGTCTTAAAATTAAAAATGACATACATAATCATGGCTAAAATTAATTTTCCCTAATCAGCATTTTTAAATAGTAACTTCTAAAAATAAATTGACAGCTAATCACCTCATGACAATACATTTCTTTACACATAATTTAAAAGCAGTGTAAGGGAGGTAATCCAAGCATAACATTGTACTTTTTTTTTTATTGTCTATTAACCAGGAAACCCTTGTTTCCCCCCCCCCCCCCCCCCTTTTTGCCCCTTATTCCTAAACGGTTTGAGCCATAACCCCCCAAAGCCAATCCTAACCATCCATTTGTGGTATGGAAACTTGTGGTATAATTTCAGAGAGATCCATACACAGTTCCACAAGTTATTGTCTGGAAACTAGAAAAATGCTTATTTGGGCCCCTTTTTGTCCCCTAATTCCTAAACTGATAGGACTCTAACCCCCAAAATCAATCCCAACCTACCTTTTGTGGTTATAAACCTTGTGTTTAAACATAGATTTCTATTTACATTTACTAAAGTTATTGTCCGGAAACCAAATGTCTTCGGACGACGACGTGATATCAATATACGACCGCTTTTTGCGGTTGTATAAAAATTAACATCCCTTGTATTGCATATAGAGAGAACTGGTTCCTGAAACTTCTGATGAACCAACCAGGAGGAGGGGTATGAGGGGTCCTGATCCCGAAATCCCGGGCTTAAAAACATGAAATCCCGAGGTCCCGAATTTAAAGAAATTTAAATCTCAACATCCTGAAATTCGAAAAAAGAATTCCCGGATCCAGAAAGGATCAATCCCGAAATCCCAAGCTTAAAAACATCCGATCCCGGAGTCCAGATAAAGGTCCGACCTTATTCAAAAATATAAGTAAAAAAGTGTTCTGCAATTATTACCAGTCTTTCAGCTTTCATCTGATACCAAAATTACCAAAAAACATATTTTGACAGTTAAACCAATGCATAGGAACTAATTTGTGTTAAATATGTACTACTTTCTGGTTTGTGCTTTTTGACTGGGCCAAATTAGTGGTGTTATACACTAAAAAGTACATATCATAATGAATATGTAATGTGAACTAAAGTTTCAAGTTGATGTATCCACAACTTCATGCTTGACAACCTTAACTCTTTCAACACTGCATAACTTTCAATATATTATACCCTTCAACACTAAGTAACTTTGAGAATTTTCAGGGTAGGTACTTTTAAACTGATGTATATTTGTACTCAGTCGTCCAATTCCATCATATGAGGTATCAAAATAATCAGCATACTTTGTACTTGCTGTACCTGTTTGTCTTATTGTGACTTATGGTGACATACAGGTAAAAATACGGGTAAATCAGGTAATTTTGATAAACTGGTGTTTTAACTATGAAAACACTTTTATTTTTGTTTGAATTTATATTGATTTAATAGTTAATGATGATTAAAAAAATAAATGTTATATTGTCTCAATTGACAAAGTATTTGTACTTCATTAGCACAGGTAAAGGTGTCAACTTTCATTTATGATTTTCGGATTGCGTTCAAATTAGTTAAATTGACGATAGAAGTGAAGACTTCTTTAGTATAAAAACATTGAAAATAGTTTAGGGCAGATGCTGAAGTGTCAAAATTTCTAACTGGGCCCACACGTTCCCAAAATTCACGAATGTTTCTTTGAGTTTGTCTTTCTCCGTGTGTCAAAATTTCTAACTGGGCCCACATGTTCCCTAAATTCACGAATGTTTCTTTGAGTTTGTCTTTCTCCGTGTGTCAAAATTTCTAACTGGGCCCACATGTTCCCTAAATTCACGAATGTTTCTTTGAGTTTGTCTTTCTCCGTGTGTCAAAATTTCTAACTGGGCCCACATGTTCCCTAAATTCATGAATGTTTCTTTGAGTTTCTGTCTTTCTCCGTGTGTCAAAATTTTTGTCAACCTGTCCGCGGCTTCAAATCCCTCGTAAGTCCTCTTCATCATCACTGTCCCCTACTATATTTCTCCATTGCCTTTCTAATTCATTTCTGTCAGCTTTATTAACATTTATTAAGTCAAATTAGCCGAAGTAATAATTAATTTAGTCTCCTGACAGTTCGTTTTCACTATCGATATCCACCATTTTGTGTACAAAATTTCCAAAAATTTTCATCGCTAATAATAGACCAATATTTACTTTATTTCCCGTTAAAAGTACGGAAAAAGCCAGAGAAACTCGAATGAATGTATATGACGATAGTATGTTACTTCAGAGGGGTTTTTCCAACGACTGACCAATGGAAATCTTGGATTAAAAAAAGTAGCATGTGCAGCCCGGTATAGCGGGTTATAGTGTTTACAGAAGTAAAATTGATTTCCCTGTAAACCGGGTCATAGTGCTGAAAGAATTAAATCAAAAATTTAATGCTAAAATGTTCAGAGAAAGAAAAAAATCAATATAACACAGGTAATGTATATTCTTTCAATGAGATAAAGGTACTAGGAGCACACTTTAGGTATTAGTATCAGATGATGAACTTTTAAAGGTATTTTTGAGCTTGGTGTATTTGTGATAAAAGATAAACAGATGTTATGCAAAAGGTATTGCACTTTCTTTATTTCTTTGAAAATCATCAAATCTATTTAATTTACAACAAATATTAAAATACATTAATTTGTCTTGTAAAAATCATCTAATAAACAAGTACACAATTTACAATTAAAATACATAAAATTAATTATATTTTAATAATTCATATAATTATCAGCAGTTTATTTTTGATATGACTTTACACATGCATCATGTGACTATAATATAACCTGTCTACTGTATAGTTCTATTCCTTAAAGCTTGAATTTGACAAGAGTTATTTCCCCTCCAGGAAAGCAGCACTGGTTCCCCTGTAATGAAGACCAAAAGTGGGGAGATTAAAATATAAAACAATATGTTAACTTAAATCTGTTTTCCAAATACCTCAGACTTCTAAACTTACAGAAACACACATCTGTTTGTCATTTGATCAAGCATTAAGATATTGATATGTATTTCATAATGTGCAGTTCCCCCTCTCATTTTAAGTAGTTGAAAATTGAATTGAGTGGTCTGGCATAAGCAAGGCCCCACTGTACACTGGATTTGGTAGACCTACAAACAAGTATATAATGAACTGGCTGGCTTTAATTGTGGTATGTTACCCATAAATTTATGTAGTTGTTTAGGAAATAAATATTATCCTAAATGCTTATGAAAATTGACACAGAAAAGGCAAGGATTATATTTGCCTCTTATCACTAAAAAACCAGTGCTGCCCCCTGGTGAGGATTATATTGAATCAAAATATAAATCAGGCTTTCAGAGATAATCTTTCGTAAAATGTTTTATTTCACCGTTTGAATAAAAAAATGGCGTATTCCTCCAATATGTATCTCAAACTTAAAATTCGCATTTTTGATTTCAATTTTAAATGCAGGTCTCTGTTAAGTAATGGATAAAATCTCATCCAAATTATTTATTACACAGCTGTTAATATTTCATAAATAAATGCATCATACTTCCAACAACTCCATCAACATGATAAAAATAAATATACTTTTTTAACTTAAGAACATGTATTGTGCATATATCAAGGCTAGGGTTTATACACCGGGTCAATGGTTTTGTGTTTATGTGTATAGGGTTAACTAATCTCATTACAAAACAAACTTATGGCACTATATATAACTATTCTATTTTTTTTTTAACGTATATGTGTGAAAGTTATTTAAACATTGCAGCCCTGAAAACTCATGTATATAAATGCAAGTGATATTTTATATGCTTTAGAAAAAAAAACCTTGAAAAATGTTTTCCATATATTTGTATTGAAAAGTGTGATTACTGCATGGATTTTTTTTTCAAACATTTAGCCTGACAGAGTTGCCTCAAGAAAAATTTATATGGAAAAAACATTGACCAAAAGAGAATATTTACGTTTCTTATACAAAAACAATGACATTTTTGTATATTTTTTTTTGGGGGGGGGGGGGGGATGAGGGGGGGGGGGGGGAGGAGGGGGGCGGAGAGGAAGCTGGGTATATTTTTCCTTATCATAGTTATTCTGTTTATCCCAATATAATAAAAACATGATTTTTTTTCAAGGTTAGCAGCTGTAAAATTAATGCTGTATTCATAATTCCTACAGAGAAATGTTTTTTTTGTAACAATTGCTTTTTCTTTTAGAAGCCATAAAACAGAATGCAGAATGTTTTTCTATTTGATCTACATATGGGTAGGATATTTAGTTATTTATTTCAAATATATAAAAACCTTACTTATAAAAGGTAATCCCTCTAAAAAAATCCAAATGAATGACAAAACTGGCCCAACAAACTGTTCAGATATATACAACAGTAAATAAATGTTTCAGCCATACAAAACATTCGAAACTATCTTAAATAAGAAGATAAAAAAAAACCAAGTCAGTGCAGATGTACTCACATCAATCATTTATTTTGTAATAATATCAGTTGAAAATAAAAAATTGCCATCAGTTGGAATGTTTGAACATGATAGTGTGGAGGTGTTTTATGAAATTCATGTAATCAAAGTAATTACCACACAATTGTATGGTCAAATGTTGACTAATTTGAGGCAGTGAATTGCTCTTATTTTGATTTTCTAACTTAGCTTGCATCTATTAAATTGATTTTTAGACTTTATTCTTATTTAAATATTTTTTGTAATCATAAAACATCATGTCAATTTGTGAGCTGATCATATAATAAATTTAAAGTGTAATGCATGTGAATCCTAATTATAAGTTCATTGGAACACCCCTGACTGGTGATTAATCAAAAATTTTGATGCGGTGAAGTGGTCTCTAAAAAAAAACAAATCTTTTTCAACATACCAGTCACAATCTTGCATTTAAATACCGTCTCATTTTGATTTAAATTTTTATCTCAATAGACTTCATTTGTATCATTATAAAAAAGTCTACCTCAATGTCAAATTATAAAAAAAGATCAGAAACATTTAGAGATTACTGGTCTGTTCTTTCAATTCCCATTTCTTAAAACTTATAGACGATATATTCGCCTTTGTGATATTACCTTAAAATTTCATGGACCATTGTATCATAATATGTACAAAACAGAACAACAAATACATCAATAAAAAAACTCTTAACAAAAATAGTAAAGTACAGATAGTGGAGGCATTCTAATAAATAACAACCAGAATTCAATGTTCTCTCAAAAAATATCAATCTGTTACTGAGTAAGGTTTTATACACCAATCTCAAGTTGTTTTTTTATGAATAAGTTACACCATGGCCAGTTGACCCAAGGTCAATCAATTTAAATGGTCTCATTACAATTATGTTTTAACTGTGACGTAATAACATAAGCATGGTGATATAGAAAATGTATAGGAAAGTGCCTGAATTTGAAATTGTCAGGAAAATATTGGTTCTTTACAATGGGAGGGAGACAACTCTAACTATCCAGATGAGATGTGAACAGCAAGATTCAATATTTTTTAAGTTTTTTTGCATATTTCTCTCAATTTGTGACTTTTCAAAAATAAAGAGGATAAGAACTCATTATCATTTAAATTATTTCATTTCAATGTTTTAGTTTAAAAAGAAAAATATTTATTTTTGACAAAAGTTTTGCATTTACATATATTGTATAAACATATTAATGAAAAAGGTCATATACCAAAAAAGCTGGGGAAAATATGACAACATTTTCATATGTGCATGACATTTCAAGCTACAAGTTTCAGGCAAATAAAATGTGGAAATGAAAGGAACTAATAAATGTGTCACACATTTTGACATTATCAGATGTAGTTTATTGACATATATCAAGAAGTTATGAATTATCATCCTGAGAAAAAAGAAACAGAAATGTGTTACAGAGGTAAACCAGTATATTCCCTCCATTGGAGTGTGGGATAGAATAGTAATAAATCTCTATAAAGACATGATTATGTCAGTGGTAAAATATCACAGTCTAGAAAAAGTTTGTTTTAAAATATTACACTGCTATAAATCACAATTTGCAGCAGTAAATTCAATGACTGACATTAGCAAATATTCATTTACAGCATACTCAATCAGGTTCACTATTAGCTGAGTCTAACATAACATCAAAATAACATTTTCTACTCGCATACAACATAAAATTCCACTGGTAGATTGGAAATGTGTGTGTGTTTTCTGATTGATATCACAATATTTAATATGATGTTAATTTGACTAGATCACATGATTTATGAAAGCTCTCCTATTGGTGCATTATCTAACCACAGGTCATGCATGAATGAATACAGATTACTGCTGACCGACACCTGTAAAAAAGAAAAAAAATATTACAAAGCAAAAATAAACAAACATTTTCACAGCTAATTACTGGCCTGACTCACTTACATATTTAACCTGTAACTCATACTTCTTTTTATAGACCAATAACTTAAGTTAACAAATAAAAATACCTGAAAATGTATTCATTTTAATTTACCATATTATAGAAAGAAATAGGGCTATTCCAAAATTAATTGGAAGGTACATTATCTCCCTAGAACCTCTTCCATACAATTTTAATTTGAAATTAAATGCTTTATTGTGAGAAAACTTGTTTCGAACCAACATACACCTATACCATTAATATAAGGTGCCTTTTAACACTTCCCTGTACCATTAATTCTGGAGTAACTTAAAAATTACTTTACGTTAAATTTACAACACTGTCATGATGTATTTTTTCTATGCATGAAATATTTGCCACTGTTTATCAGCAGTTTACAATGATCAGTCATATAATGTTTAAATTTGTAGGATTCACAACTTGATGATGAGTATATATGGTATATTGGTGTTTAATGTCCAGTGGCAAATATCTCATGCATATCAGGACAAAAACATGGTAATGTCATATGAATATGAAGCCATTTTTGTACACGACAAACACATTGTGCTAGATTTTCGATGTGCTACTTCCCAAGGTAACAGTTCACTAGACTTTTTTTTGCTCATTTTGCTCTTTTACTCTCAAAAGGTAATGGTTTCTGACAAGGCTTGATGATGACATGTTTATAAATTTTTTTTACATACCTTGTAAGGTGTAGGATTTAAGGCTCGTCGATGGTCAATTCTAAGACTCTTCAGAGAGCATAAGGCTTTGGACCTCAGTTCTGTTAATGTAGGTAAAGGTTGCTTAACCTAAAAAAAAAATACAGGAAATAATTAAAACTCAGTATGTGTTATCTGTTTACAAAACAATTGTGGTATAACTGTCATCTTTTTGTATACCAAAGATTTTAATCCATGCTCTAACTTTTTAAAACTAAAATGACAAAATTTCAAAGGTTTTAATATTTGGTTTAATGTGATATTTAATAAAAAAAATATCTACATCACTCTCCAAGAATTTTGTGGGGCAATGGCAGGGCTTAGTCTGTGAAAAGTCTATGTAAATTGATACTGTGTAAATTTCACAAAAAACAATTACTATTAATTCATTTACACTGACAAAATTTTAATTATTGCAAAAGTCTGCATCTTTTATAGCAGACTATACGGTATGCATTGGTTTTTCTCATTGATGAAGGCCATACGGTTGCCTATACAAATATAATTGCTTGCAACCACTTCATTTTAACTTTGGTGGATTATTGTCTCATTTGCAATCATACCACATCTCCTTATTTTTATATTAATCTTTATTGATAATTATGTTACAGCTAAATTATTTGAGTGCAGATGCAGATCAAAAATTTTGATAAAAAGGGTGTGGGGCACTTACAGGGCAAAGTTAGGAATGGAAAGTGAAAATGTCTATGCATTATCCATATATGTAGTGCCACTTCTGGAGTGTGTACTTGGTTTAAAAGCTATGCTTATTTGTTGATGATCCATAAAATCTGTTACATCTATTATAAATATTGACAAAAACTGACCAAAAAAGGTCTATCAGTCTTTGTTATGGTAGCTGTTCCATGATTTGATTGGCTAATAATAATATAAATGGGAGGTAACGAAGATTGATGATATTTGTTTTATGGTCCAGCCAGCAAACAAGCAAGACTTGAAATTATAGTCAGGGAAATCTGTCATACAAGTGGGAGGTTTAGCTAGATATAAAACCAGGTTTAACACACTTTTTTCTTCTGAAAATGCCTGTACCAAGTCAAGAATATGGCAGTTGTTTTTCTCTTGTTCTGTTGATTGATCGTGTTTTTCGATTTTGTTAATTTTTATGGACTTCCCCTTTTGAATTTGCCTTTGAGTATTTCTGTTATACTTTTTTTCTTTATCAAAGCTGACATTGGCTTTGATCTAGTTGTCAGTTACTGCAATACTCTTGGAAAGGCTCGTGTGTTTTATCTTTTTGTTAGGTTTTTGTGTGTGCTTAGTGTCGATATGATGACTAAAGCTCTTTTCGAACTGATTTTATAGTTTGTTCTCATTGTTGTGCTGTAAACACAACTATCCCATTTTAGGAGGAGGATTGAGTGCTCACAAACATTTTTAACACTGTCACATTCTTTATGTACGTGACAAGCCAGGAGCCTGTACTTCAGTTGTTGTCAGACTTTGGTTGCTGTCTGCCTTATTTGTTTTTTCGTTTGTTTTTAACATATATATCAATCCATTTTCTCTTTTAAATTTTAAAATTTTTTGTCATGCTGGAGGCCTTTTAAAGCTTTCTAAATGGTAAGGGTTTTGCTTATTGTTGAAGGCTTAGGCCGTACAGTACCCATATAGTTGTTTACGTCCACATCATTTGGACCCTGGTGATTATTTGTCTCATTGGCAATCATACCACATCTCCTTATGTTATATTGACACAGTTTTTTAAGAACATATAAAGTATATAAGTTGTAATACCTCTCCATTTTCTATAAACACTTTATGTAATCTTTCTATTTTAGCAGGACATACATAAGCTCTTTTGGACTCCTACAAATAAATATGATATTAAATGTTGAATTAATATATCAATTTTACACAAAAAATGTTTCAAATTCAATATTTGATTTTTGATTTTTTGGTGTTTTAAGCACTGCTTTTGGGCTATTTCGTGGCGGCCAGTTTTTATATCGACCTTTCAAATTCAATAAAATCTTTAGGTACTATGTAACATTTTTCTTACATCTATTATTCCCATGCTGTGGATTCATTTGTTTTAATCAATCATGAACTTTTGACAAGGTCAATAAGTTATATATGGACCTGTTCAGATTATATTGACTGAGGAAGAAGTCGTCATGAAAACCTAAATCTTGGATCTTTCCTTATCTTACTACATCAAGTGAATTTGAAAATCGCGAAATTAAATCGCCCCGAAGTGGGCTAGAAAGGGCTAAACGCGAAATAAAGTATCCGCGAAAATAAATTGGTTTACATTGTATTGGTAAACATGTGCCGATATAAACCAATGAGAAACAAGAAAAATCAAACCATATGTAATATTCCTCTGTATCAATTTTCTTGGGTATAGAAACATTGTATTTTGTGGATATCTAATTTCTTTGTTTACCGAAGTCTGCATACAAGCCTATACAAAATTTGTACTTATTTGAACATTTTAATTCATTGTTCTTATTCCACAAAATCAATGAAGATTGGTATCCAATGAATAATAATGAATCCACTGTATATACAAAACATTGACATCTACTAACATATAGCTTTCACTAGTCCATTTCCTGCGGGTTAAATTCATAATTTTGTAACTTTGTTGGTGTATTTATGATCTAAGTCTGACATGAGAGGTGAGAGTTTTCTGATCTGTGTTGAAGACCTCATTGTGACTTTGAGATGGAGCACAGCAATACAAGTGCTGTTCCTTTGCTTTATGTGTGATTTTTGCTGTGCATGTACTGATTTTGTGTTATTGTCTGATACCCCATATCCTTTGTTTTTCTATAAAAGTCACACCAATTCAATTCATGTTTTTTTTGTAGTGGTTGATACTCAAAAATAATTTCTTCAAATGGAGAAAATATGACATGTTTTATCTCTGTCTCAGTACTAATCAAAGTGGTTGTGAGCACTGGAGGGTAAAGATTGAATTTATTTTGCAGTGGGAACCAAAATTTAAACATTGCATTGTACTTGAATTGGAGATAGATCTTCCTTTGTTGAACTAAGGGGCCTCGGTGGCCGAGTGGTCTAAGTAGTTACTACTGTAATCACTAGCCAGTCAACACTGAGATTGTGAGTTTGAATCCCACTCGTGCGGGTGCACTCGACTCCAATCTTTTAAATTGACTAGGACTGTCAGTTTTCCTATCGAAGGTCGGTGGTTTTCTCCGGGCACTCCAACTTCCTCCACCACTAAAAACTGGCCGCCATGAAATAGCCCAAAAGCGGTGCTTAAAAGTGGTGATAAAACACCCCCCAAAAAAAAAAAAAAAAATCCTTTGTTGAACTACAATTTTGGACAAAGGGAGATAACTCCTATTCTAAATATAACTTTAAGAATGACATTATTAATACTTTAAGACCAAATACTAGAGCAGAGACTAGAAATGTATATTTCTTGACCAGTATGTTTATTCATATACACATTATCTTGTAACTTGAATATAGGAGAATATATTTCATTTATGAATTTCTCAAAATATTCATGAATAGGATGTATACAATGTTATGATCAATGCCCTATTTTTTCTTGATGTCAAAAGTAGTCACAAAGTCTGGAAAACTGATAACTATCAAGCCAGTGAATGCAATCTTTACCCCACAAATTGAAAATAATAAAATAAATTATATAAACATTAAATCCCCCCCTCTTTTTTTCATAAACAAATAATAAATAATTGAGAAGCAGAGATTTAATTTAAAATCGCTTTTCTGAGCTTGTGTTGACAATTATAGAAAAACTAATCCAAGAATTCAAAAGTAAGAAAATATTCAAAAATTAACAAAAAAAAACCAGATTAAATCATGAATGCGAATAGCACATGAGTTAATCATCAGTGTTGTTCTGTCACGCTTTGAATATTTTTTTATATTTGAATTCTTGGATTAATTATTCTTTTTATAAAAATTAACATGTACTTTTAAAGGAAATAAAGTAGAAATTGAAAGGAACTTATCTTTTTCTAAGAATTCTCAAATTGATTTTTTGCATCAGAGAAGTGTAAATATCAGATTTATTTTAGGTGGAAAATCTTAACAATTTCTGAATAGTTTAAAAAAAATTTGTAAGGGTTCCGCGGAACCCAGTGCCTCACCTACTTTTGCTGTTAATCGCAGGCTCAACAAAAATGAGGAAAAAAATTGATAAAAATATTCCTCTCTATACTATCTTTCGATTGTAAGTAGCTTCTGTCCAAGTTTGGTAAAAATCCAGGATAGTTTATGAATCTAATAAATGTTTTAAAAACTTAAACTGCAGACTGTATGTAATGTTAACTGGAAGAAAAACTAAGTCCATTTATAAGTAAAATAAGGAAAATGGAACAAAATTTAACAAAATTTCCTTCTAGATACTAGCTTTTTATCATAAACAAGCTTCTGTCCAAGTTTGGTACAAATCCAAGATAGTTTAAAAAAGTTGTTAAAATTTTAAAAACTTTAACCACAGAGTGATAGTAATGTTAACTGGCAGAAAAACTAAGTCCATTCATAAGTAAAATACTGAAAAAATGATTTTTTTTTTTACAAAATTTACTTCTGGATACCATCTTATGATCATAAACGTGTAAGCTTCTTTCCAAGTTTGGTAGAAATCCAGGATAGTTTAAGAAAGTTATTAAAATTTCAAAAACTTTAACCACAGAGTGAATATTTGTGGACGCCGCCGCCGCCGACAACGATGACGGAATATAGGATCGCTATGTCTCGCTTTTTCAACAAAAACCAATCTTAAATGGTTACGATACTCACTATGAAAGGGTGTCTACAAAGAACTCTCTCATTACTTTTAGGTGGCTCATCATCTGGTTTTAACATCAGGTCAACCAAGGCATTTCCTGAAAGTATTAATGGTTTTCAAGTTTTAAAATGGAAAGAAAAAACTTCTTTTTCCATTCTTTATTCTGTAGGGTTTTCAATCTTTTGCAACAAACATGTTCAGGATTTTTCCAAATTAATTAATTTCGACTGAAACTCTTTGCCTTGGCCATTTTATTTAAACGTTGTCTTCTGGTACCTGTTAATTTTCATATTTGAAGCTACCATTATTGTTAAATCTTGAATTTAACTTTTTATACTCACCATCGTGCCCAAACAGTCGGTAAGCTATCTTCCGGCCTGGTATGGTGACCTTTTCCACATCTTCACTCAGTTTTATTCTTGGTTTACTGTTCACTTCTACCAACTGTAGAAATAAGTTAATTTAAAGAATAATATATTACTTTTCATATTTAGAAACAACAAAGCATTTGAAAAAGTCATAATCCTATTAGGGCTATTCCATTAAAATGTATGTGGGAGGGTAGGAAGGGACTTTCAAAATATCCCTACAACCAAGAACCATTTTTTAGATAATTTTGCAAAATGGTAATAGACGCATACTGAAAAAAGACCCATGACCCACATTCAATAATTAAACTTCCCTTCCTACCCTCCCACATACATTTTTATGGAATAGCCCTTACCATCTTTTCAAAAATATAAGATACCAGTAGAGAAATAAAATACTACAATAGATAGAGTGAAAACATAGTGTAACTGTGAGCTATTGCTTGTTAATGATACCCTTCCTATAAATTTGTTAAACAGAAAGTTGATAAGCCGTGGTTGTGAAACACAAACAAACTTCAGGAAGCTCTGATTTTGTATATTCTTAGAAAAATGTTACGAAAATGTCAAATATGGTCACTGTGTGTTATATAAGTCCTTGGTTAAAATGCTGTTGAAGATCTAGAACAATGAATGTAAAAACGCAAGAAGGTATAACAGGGTTACATGAGGATTGCTGGACCTCAGTGGCAGTGTGTTCTAACTAGTTGGCAGGGGTTAAAAAATTTTGTTACAGCTCACTAGCCCAGGATTTATTGGTAGCAGGATTTTACAAGCCCTGTTGGAAGAACTGCTAGCCCATCAAAACTGACCTGCTAGCCCGAGTATGTCTTACGAATTCAGAGTTTGCTGCATAATACAACGAGTTCTTTAAACTTGTTCATTTCTATCCGTTGTACTATGGGTTGTTAAATATTTTACAGGATCTCAGGGATTTAAATGGATTGAAGAGTTAATGCAATAATACACGTGTAATTAAATTTCCAGTCACTGACCGCTGTATTGATTTATGACATTCTGAGTGTTTACCCAAGATTATCTCTGATCACCATGATAAACTACAGAAATCATGTTCATTGGTCTTGTCATGTGAAGCCAGTGGTTCAAATCATATATTTGTTCCCACATACAAAGCAGACTTTTTATTAGCGTGATAGGGAAAATAACGGCAATATTCACAAAACATTGTCTCTGGTTTATCATCAGCAACAGCCGACCTTGCCCTGGGAATCTTTTTGTCCATGACACTATAAATGTTCTTTTCAGCTTTTCCCGGTTGTATTTGTCATTTTTTGGGATGAATTTTCAGCCCCTTCATCTACCGTTTTTTGTTTTGAAACTGAAAATTAGTTCCTGGGGTGTCCGTACTAAAATATTTCAAATATTTTGTTGCATGGTTTAGTGCTTAACAGCTGTCCGACATGACAGGTCAATATCGATCAATGCATCATATACCCCCACTGGCCCAAAACCGTCACCGGTAATTGAAAATCTCGGCATAAGCAATGTACAATACCCCCTGTACTGAGAAATCGATATTGAAAGTACGGGAATTGCGATCAATACATGATACCGGTCCACCCAGGGTTATTTGTTCTATTTTAAAACATGTACAAAATCAGTTCAAATTCTTGAAATCCCGGATGACGTAATTGAATCTGATTGGCTAAGATAGAATAGTGATGAGGGGATTTTCCACTTTCTATTTTGGAAACGCCAAGAATTTTTTGTTACTAGTCCGTCTGGCATTTTGGGTTACAAGTTTTGATTGCCCGAAGCGTAAATGCTGTAGCCCTGGGCGTCGGGCTATTGGATTTTTTAACCCCTGGTTGGTCTACAGTGATCACTAGACTGTCAACACTGAGGTTGTGAATTCAAACCCTGCTCATGGTAGGTACATTCTACTATCTAATTTTTTGAATTTGATGAAACTGTCGTACAAGTGAGAGGTTTAGCGCTATAAAACCAGGTTCAATCCACCATTTTCTACATTTGAAAATGCCTGTACCAAATCAGGAATATGACAGTTGATGTCCATTCGTTTGACGTGTTTTGTCATTTGATTTTGCCATGTGATATAGGGACTTTCCGATTGAATTTTCCTCGGAGTTCAGTATTTTTGTGATTTTACTTTTTATCTAGACTAGATATGACAGTTTTCCTGTCGAGGGTTGGCAGTTCTCTACAGGTACTCTGGTTTCCTCCACCAATAAAATTTAGCCACAGCGATATAGCGAAGAGTACTGAAAGTGGTGTTAAACACCAACAATCAATCAAACAATCAGGAAGCTTGCTATCAAAATTTGATGAAGCAGTGAAATGTAGTTCCTAGGAAAAGATGTTGAGAATTATTCATGGGACAGACTGAAACACAAATAAATGGACAGACAGACAGAGGTTAACCTGTATACCCCACTTCCTTTGAGCTGGAGGTATGAAAAAATGAGAAAATGAAATACAGTGTAAACAAGTAAATAAGTAAAGACTGAGCAAAACAACACTGCTAATATATGTAAACTTATTACATTATAACTACCTGCATGTTTGAAAATGTTTACTGTTAATAAGATTTCATCTAATCAGACAGGTGTTTGATTTATAAACATGATAAAGATTAATTATTACAGAATATCTATTGAGCTCAGAATAAAGATTTCAGTTAAAGAAGGTACATGCTTTTTGAATGATTTAGTTATATAGACATTGGCTCTTCTTACTTTATATACACCTCCTAGTGCTGGTTGTTTCTGACATGTGACCAGATGTGTTCCAATCCCAAAGCTGTTTATACTGTGTCCCTGAAGAAAAACCACATATGAAACAAACTGTTTCATTGGTCAAATAAAATTTGCAGATGTACATGTCTAATTCTTTTCTCAAAATAAAAGTACCAAAATTTTGATTCATCATCCTCTAAGAAATGGATAGGGAATATAAATATTTTTCTGTTAAGGATGCATTTTGAGGAAATATATTATTTTTTCTCTACTTAATGCACTTTTTATCATCTTCTATAAAAAAATGAAATTAAAAATTCTTACTTCATAAACATGATAATTATACTATAACAAGCTGATTACTGAGGACAGAACTGCAATGATTTTACCATTTTCAAAAACTTATTAAAGGGAGAAAATTCAAATGTAAATTCAGAAATTATTGCTTGCATTTATCATAGCAATTTTTAGAGTTGACAAAAAAGAGTTTAAATATTAAGATTCCAGGATACTCTACATACAGATATATGTATGAGATATCAGAATGAGAGTTCTAATCATTGAGATACTAACTCAGCAGCATTATTCACATTATATAAACCTCACAATAATTTCTGAATTTACAGTATATATATCAAAACATGTAGGAATACATACAAACACCCTATATCTAGTGTATATGTAACTTTCATTCAATGCATTTTAATAGTACAATAGTACATGTTTCCTTCAATCTGACCTATATAAAGCACACTTAAAAGAAGAAGTCATCTGATTTTGATGAAGCAAAACATTTAAGAAAACAAATTATTTCATGAGTAAAAAGTGCGTAAATATATTAACTCACTTTTTGAAAGAACTTGGAACAAAAGACCAAAGAAGTAGGTACTACTGAGTGGGTCAACTTAGTAAGAGAAATGATTAGAAATTCTGACTGCAACTGGAAGATGAGGTTGGATAGAGTCTTGCAACCGACAATATATATAAACTTTCATCTTTTTTTCAGTAATAATGTAATTTCTAAACCAAAGATGGATTCATACTTATTCATCGGATACCAATTGTCATATATTGCATGGTAACAGGTCGACCACAAATTTAAATGTTCAAGTTCACATTTTCTACATGCTATAGTGCAGACTTTTGCAAAACTAATGCATCAAATATTCTCCAAAATAAAAATTTCTCTAAATTCATGAAAATTGGTATGAAGGAAAAGAAATGAATCCCCAGTATTTACCTGTTGATTTAATGAATGTATGGTGTCTTCATTAATATCATTACTGGCTACAATGGTCAACTGTGAAAACCAAGGCACGTTAAAACTGAAAAATATATATAGGACGGATATCAATACTGGCTACAATGGTCAACTGTGAAAACCAAGGCACATTAAAACTGAAAAATATATATAGGACGGATATCAATACTGGCTACAATGGTCAACTGTGAAAACCAAGGCACGTTAAAACTGAAAAATATATAAAGGACTGATATCAATACTGGCTACAATGGTCAACTGTGAAAACCAAGGCACGTTAAAACTGAAAAATATATAAAGGACTGATATCAATACACCACTTTTAAAACAGGAAAAGATTTCTTTGTTCATTTAACAATTTTTTATCATTATTAAATTATCTGTGCGGCTTACCCTGCTCCTATAATTTAATGTATGGAGAAAGTGTATTGTTTTTATTCATTGGTACAGCAACGTTTTCTGTGTGTAGGATTGACTTTCTCTATCATGACTATTTTGTAAAATTTGCTGCACTCCTCAAAAACATATGTTGTTTTTATTTGTAATTTAAGGTTTGAATACTTTATGTTTCATTAATTGGAAAAGATTAAAAACAGTTGTAGAAAAGTTGGCCTTAGATGGATTTAGCTATTATTTTAGTTCCTTTTTGGTCTTATAGCTCTTCAACTGTTTTGGCTTTTATACATCCTTGACTTTCATCTATTCGGCTTTGAGCAGTCCTGATGAAGTTAAATCCAGAAAATGCTTCGGACACATGAAATTTATAAAGTGTTGTTTCTTTTTTTTTGTGTCTACGGATTTTTCATATGAAAGATATGAGAAGAAATGCTAAGTCTATTTAAGCTGATAAAATCATGTCTGTTAGAGGGAGGCAACTCAAACATCATTTTATTACCTTCTTGCCACTTTTTCAAAAGACTGTCTGACAAGGTTTGAAAGGTAAGCTAAATCACCACTGTCTAGCCGTATACCTCGAGGCTGGTAGCCACACTCATGTAGAGCCATAGCAACTGTACAAAAACTTGGTAAACCAGTTCTGTAATCATAAAATCATGAATGTTGACAATTAAATATAAGAATTATTTATCATATTACACAGCAATACATCACCTGACATATATATAGCAGGGGCAGATCCAGGATTTTTGAAAGGGGCCTAATTGCAGAAAAAGTAATATATACCGTGAAATATTTTACAAAGATTTTATGCCAAAAAATGATATTTTTTGGGGAATCAACATGACGAACACCCTCTACGCCCCCTGAATCCATCACTGCATAGAGAATAGTATATGGTAAAGCTTACAACACAAGAGATCAATATCAGTCGGACACCTAAAGGACTAAGAACTAATATTGATCAGGATTGGTACGGCATTAGATAGATCTGTAATCATGTATAGTGAAGATGAAGACAAGAAGCACCTTTCTATTGAACTGTCCATTACAATAATCTTAGACACATATACCTGCATATGGCTGAAATTGGACAATTTTAGTGACAATAGCAAAAGTCTTGTTGAAGGCCCTACAGTGACCAATTGTTTACTAACATTTATGTCATTTGGTCTTTGGTGGAAAATTGTTTCACTCACCTTACAACATCGTATGTATCTATAAGTGCTAAGAAACCATCAGGAAATGCTGTAGCATAAGCTATGAAGGCTGCCAGCTCACTTTTTGATACTTGGTCATCTAAAAATCCTGCAATGTAAAGGTTTATAAAATCTGAATTGTTAAAAGGATAAAAAAGCACTGCCAAATACTTTAAAACCAGTGATCGGGGAAGGTCCAGCAAATGACCAGAAATGGTGCATAGAGTGATAAACATTTAGATATCCTAAAATGTATTTCCGATCGTGTTACGTGTCCCCATATTTGTGTACAAAACTGTGTTGTGTTCGCTCCAAATGACAGGAGCACCACCTATATTTTTGGGCTGTCTTGGGCGTTTTCCTTCATGTTAAGGATAGCAACGTATGATATATCTGATTACCGAAAAAACATAATCATCATCCATGATCTAAATTTTCAAAGTAAACAACTTTAATTCTGTGAAACTGAAAGTTGGCTAATACAGACGAGAAATTTTCTCAAATTATAATCTTTAAAGTAAACTTGCTACAGTTTCCATTGAAAAACCCAAGGGTCTTTTTTTTTATAATATAGTAATTGTCTCCATTAAAGGCGCTTCACTGTCCTTGTCAATTTTTTGGTCTTTGGTTCGTTTGTAAAATTTTGTAAACATGCCTACAGCGATTTGTTGTTTTGTCTTATCAAAAAACGTTACTTTCTTTTGTTGGTCACAATAAAATAATAATTATACAAGAAATACTGAGGAAATGCCTGAAATGTCCTCTAACACAGAACTTCAGGAAGAAAGTATGGCAGTTGACGAAGACCCAAATTTAATGTCAAAGGAACATGAACAAGGCGAGAGTACCAGTATCATTGTAAATAAAGAAATAACTATAAACATATATTTTTTTGTATGCCTTTACTTTTATTCACCATGTTCACTGAAACTACAAAAGCACAGGAACAATATCCATGATATCAATTAAAATCATACAGGTTAGTACCTCTTTGCTGAAATATACACTTTTTTATTTTTTGTTATAAACTAATGGCCCACTCACTTGAAAACATGGCCCATTGATTTTTTTTTTTTTGGGGGGGGGGGCCCTGGGCCCATAGAGAAAAATCTTTCCAGATCACTGTAAAACAACATATTTTTGGCCTTTAGCTCTACCTTGTAGACTTTGTTACATATTTCTGTAATTTCCTTACACAGATGATGTATTCATATGAGAGAAGATTCTAGTTTCATATCTTCCTTATGATTTCTTTTCTCTTTATTTTTCTACTATAGAAATTTGTGAAAATTTATCACCTGTGTAATAAATTAATAGTGTTTACAGTAAGCTTTACAGAATAGTCAGAAAGTGACAACTAATTGATCTTATAGGAAGGTTGTTTTGTTCTCATTATCTTCAAGTGTATTTGATTACTGTGGATTCATTTTTATTCGTTGTATACCAATTTTCGTGGGTTTCGTGGGTCACAGCGAATCACGAATTTAAGAATTCAACGAAGAATAATCCTGAGAAATGTGTATGGAGTCGGATGTTTATTTCCGATTATGTTATGCAGTTCTAGTATAGTGTTGACTAGCGATAAACATTGTAACATAACATATGTTTTTATTGAAAGAAGACACAAGTATTTTGATTAAATCAATAATAAATATATCGAATATCAGTGATAATTTACTTTTTAAAATTGATTAAAACTGTTCATGGAAAATAACTGCAAGTTGTTAATTACCGTGTCATAGTTTGGTTTACTGGTGATTAAAAATCAATAGGATTAAGTACGGGGATATTGCCCGTAGGTAATATTGTTTATGACAGGAACATTTATTTTCACACCTTTTACTTATATGACTGTTAATTGTATCGTGATTAGGGAAATGAGCTTTCAATCATAGAATTTTGAATGCCTTATAAAATTCCGACAAGAATTCAAAAATTGTAAAACAAACAAATAATTAGTTGTCTCTGTCCATTATTGTAATAGAAGTTTTCAATGAACACTTTAATCTAGAATGACCAAACAAGGATTTTGACAATTCAAAGCCTTTAATGAATTCCTTCTTTTTTGTTTGTTTTATTATTGATCAAACCAAGGAGGTTATATGATCTCCTAAATCAAAAAGAAATCCACGAATTACATATCGGAATTTTTTTTTTTTTTTTTGCAATCAGCGATCCACGAATTTACGTATACCACGAAACATCTTTTTTTCTCTATCCACGAAAATTGATACCCACGAAAATAAATGAATCCACAGTTTTAATTTTTTTTTTTGTGAAACCAGTCTATTTCAGCTATTGTATACATTGTATGGAAAGAACATTGACCTCTGACAGTCAGTTCAAAGGTCATACATGCTATCCCATGCCCACCCAATTCTAAAGTGTAGTGGTGATCATAAGGGCTATTTCATCAAATTAGTTGTGGGAGGGTAGGAAAGAACTTCTAAAATACTCCCACTAACATATATGGTTTCTTTGTTTTGTTTGTGTACATTAAGTAAATGACCAATGACCCATGTCGAAACATAGAAGTTTCCTTCCAACACATCCCATTTCAAGGAATAGGCCTAAACAAATCCTGAGCATTAGAGTTAACAACTGATTTCATAACTAACCTAATACAGGTGCTAACTGTTTCAGCCATTTTTCACAAAGTGGAATGAAATCAACCATTTCATCAGTGCCTTTCCTAACCAGTTGCTGCAATAAAACAATAACAACTGAATATTATTTTCGTAAACAGTAGAATTGTGATGTAAAAAGCACAAAATAATAAGAACACCATTGATTTTTTGGGGTACATTTTTTGGTCCCTGTATTTAAAGTTCTACACTTTTGAACACACAAGGGAATTAGAAAAATAGTAAGAGGTAAAAAGGTTTCATTAACACTTGTTTAATGCTGAAGAAATTGAATGTCAACTTTAGCTGATTTATCCCGCAATGGTGGTAAGTCGTGCACTTAAGGCCATTTTTTATTTCATTTTTCTGTAGACTTAGCTTTATTTTTTTATTACTGTGTATTGTCAAGCTTGGTTACTCATAATTGTTTCTCAGTCACTGAATGTACGATGTTGTTCCATACTGCAGCAGCTGACCCCGTTTGTTTACATTCAAATTCTAATGGCTTCAAAACCACGTGACACATTGAATCGTTATATCCAATCAAATTGTTCTACTGTCAATTAGGTGATTTTTTAGTACAAGGCAATTATATTATTTGTTTGTATGATATTGCTTTGAAATAGTTTGCAATAAATTGGGGGTTTATTCAATAGGAAACCTCATTATTAGCCATGAAATTTGATATCAATGGAATTTTATATGAATATTTACTTATGGTCAGAATATCGATCTCTTTATATTGAACCATTTTTTTTTTTATGAAAAATATATGTATATTGTTTTTTATTAACCTACTCTATATTCCTGAACAGAAATATGGTATGATTATCGTTTGTTTCCCAAGGTTTTTCTTTCAATTTGGATGGTTTTTTTTCGCTGGAAAATCGGGTAAGATGTAAGGTGCTTGCTATTTTGAAATTCTTAAAAATACGATTTGCTTGGCCTGTTTGGTCTGCCATTAAGATTGATGACGCTAAATGGAATGTAAACAAAGCAAAGGAGGCCGGAAGAGGGGATTTCTGAAGTTCTGGAATGTTTATAGGCATTCGGAAGTCAGGTTTGAAACGGCCATTAGAAAATTGGCATTTTTGTACAATACTTTAGAATAACAATGAAAACATATATTTAGAAATGTTTGTTTATTTAGAAGAGTAGAAAAATTGTACGCTGGTATTAGCGTAGTGACGTCAATGCTGAGTTTTAACTTGTGATAAGTACAATAACAAAATCCGAACGAACCAACATTATGACCGATTATAGACTACGGTAGGATATATGTTTTGAACATGAATACCATTTGTTTATTGTGTGTCCTGTACACAGTGACATAAAATCAAAGTGCTTGTGAGCTCTGAAGGGTAAAGATTGCTTTCATTTTGCAATTTTGAGAATTTTTAAATAAAAAATTGAATTGTATTTTGCTAGGCAAGTTATAAATTTGAGTTGGAATTATCTTCCTTTGTTCATGATTGTACATTTGTAGTTAAACCTATTTTTATAACAGATTCATACACCATACATTACTTATGTAATTTTTAATAAAAAAATGTTTTGTGACAAGTACTGTAAATTCAGAAATTCTTGCTTCCATTTATTATCGCTATTTCTGGAAATGCTGCATACTGATATAATTTCTGAATTTACAGTATGGTCAAATACACATCATATTGTAACTTAAATATCAAAGTATAACATATCATCAACAAATTGCATGACATTGACTGGATATGATCTAAATAATGATCACTTCACTGCACTATTTTGTTTGAACTATCAAAAGTAGTGATAAACCTTGGAATTTATAGATATCAAGTCAGTACCATAGGGTTTTGATTGCATTTCATGCAATCTTTACCCAAAACTACTTGATAATCACACATGGGGACATGCCAGAAAACTGCTATATTGAAGACCCATTGAAAAGTTCAAAATGTAAACACATTTTATTTAATTCAAAGAACATATAAAGCAAAATTATTGTAAATATCATAATATGGTAATAGTCAATGATAGAAGTAGATGTAGAATAACAAATAATAAGAAAATCCAACAACTCAAGCTGACTGAAAATAGTCAATTACATGTCACCATGTACAGCTACCACAATGAACAGGCACATATACCAAATGACAGATTTTCCATGAAACAAGAAATATTCAAATTACCCGATTGTGTAATTCTGATAAGCCTGAAAATGACGTGATGAAGGCATGAGCATGTGTACCTCTTACTGGAATGCCGTAAAGTTTACCTGCCAATACATTACTTGTCCCGTCAAAACCTACAAATTAGAAAATACATAATTTCAAAATTTTAAATAACAGATTATTCCGGTTGGCAATCATGGCAATTCAGAGCGTAGTGTAGAACTAGAATTGTGAGTGAATTCACACCCATAGCCAGGGGGGGTTCGAGCGGTTTGTACGAACCCGCCCCCTTGAAAACAAATAAGCACTGTTAAAGTCGACGTTCTGTTTGAATTGTAACTGTTAAAGTGAGCTTCGCTAGTCCATGTAACCCCCCCCCCCCCCCCCCCCCCCCCCCTCCTCCTTGGAAATTCCTGGCTACAGGCCTGGAATTCACATAAGGATACCTCCGTTTATGAGAGATTAATACCGGCAAAGTATCTTTATACCAAATAAAGTTGTCCTATTACTCATAATAAATGATAAAATTGGGCAATAAGCACAATAATATAATAATAATAATAATAAATTCTTTATTAAAAGAGGGTAAACACAGCTAGTTACAACAACCAATGGAAATATGCCCAGACAAAAACCTCAGACATTATAAAGGTATCTGTATACCAGATATGAATTATCAAGGTCTTCTACCTTCTTAAAGTGAAGCTTAATATAACAAGCTAATACAGCTGTCAAGGCTGCTGTGCATTTGTCAGAAGTGATAAACAATGGGGAAAAATAATAAAATATCTACCCCAACATTCTGGAAACACAACATAAATATAAGATATAGATAAGATCAGGGCTCTCTGTAATAAATTCTTACTCAGTACGCGGTACTCCCAAGTGAGGAATTTGTGTTGAAACATCAAATCTAGTTTTTTGATTGGTTGATTTCTGCGTCTTAGTAAGTGAATCGTGCTTGAAATATGACTACAAGGCCAGATCTTTTAGAATTTGGTAAAAAGAATTTATTTTCTAACGTAAATAACATATTACTTCACAAGTGCTGATTCATCGTTTCTCATTAATTTTTCAATTCAATTACATCATAACTCATTACGTTTCAATAAAAATGGTTTTACTTTAAAAATAAATTTGTACATCACGATACTCCTCACAACTGTTAAAGTTCCCCAATCAATAAAACAATCAATAATTAATTAGATCTTTTAGTTAAATTTTCTAATTAACAATCAGTTAATTATCTTTCTGAGTGATAAAACTTAATAGATGTTGTTAGATCTGCAGGTTTTAATGATTTTTGCCTTTATCTTTGTATTTCTACCGAACACGGAACTAGTTCTTTATAGAAAAGATATAAAATTTCAATAAAGAAGTGTAAAAGGAAGGTTAACTTGTCAATAAATATTGATACATCTTTGTGACGTTGTTATTCTTTATTTGCCAATCAATATTGATTATAGAATCTGCTATATCATATCAAAACAGACTACAAGAAAGATATCAAACCAAGATTGTGATGTGGTGAAGTTGAAATCATTCCTTTGGAAATTTTACAGACATCATCACAAGCTGGTTGACTGGTATTGAATATCTGTTTCACAGATGACAACAGTTATATTCCAATTGTCCAAACCACAATCCTGTCCTCTTTTTCTTGAATCAAACTTTTACAAATTGTGACTTGGATGGAGAGTTGTCTCATTGGCACTCATACCACATCTTCTTATATCTATTAACACCCGGTTTGTACTAACATCAGCAACATGATGGGTGTCACATGTGGAGCATGATCTGCTTACCCTTCCGGAGCACCTAAGATCACCCCCTGTTTTTGGTGAGCTTTGTGTTGCTCAAGGTTTTAGTTTTCTAGGTTGTGTTTTGTATACTGTTTTTTGTCTTTTTTTTTTAGTTTTTTGCCATGGCATTGTCAGATTGTTTTTCATTTTTTGCCATGGCATTGTCAGATTGTTATTCGTTTTTTGCCATGGCATTGTCAGATTGTTTTTCATTTTTTGCCATGGTTATTCTTTTTTTGCCATGACATTGTCAGATTGTTATATGTTTTTTGCCATGGCATTGTCAGATTGTTTTTCATTTTTTGCCATGGCATTGTCAGATTGTTTTTCATTTTTTGCCATGGCATTGTCAGATTGTTTTTCATTTTTTGCCATGGCATTGTCAGATTGTTATTCGTTTTTTGCCATGGCATTGTCAGATTGTTTTTCATTTTTTGCCATGGTTATTCTTTTTTTGCCATGACATTGTCAGATTGTTATATGTTTTTTGCCATGGCATTGTCAGATTGTTTTTCATTTTTTGCCATGGCATTGTCAGATTGTTTTTCATTTTTTGCCATGGCATTGTCAGATTGTTTTTTCATTTTTTGCCATGGCATTGTCAGATTGTTATTTTTTTCCTAAACAATAATATCTAGATGGAAAATAAAGTTTTAAATTAAATACATCATTGGTCCTACATTATTCAAATACAGTAGTACAAACCTCCTAAATAACAATATCTAGATGCAGATAAAGCACCATCGGGTCCCTGGGCTCTCCGTAGTCCAAATTCTAATAAGATACTGTCTGACCCTGCAGCAATACGAAACCTCATGCCATTTGTTGCCACTAAACTGTAATTTAACAATTAACCATTTTAGATATGGATATAAATCATGTAGAATTCATTTCATAATTTCACATACGTGTATATATATGGTCATGTTTTACATGTATTAGGGTTACAGTATTAACATGCACAAATTGTTTACAAATTTGTTATTGTCCAAAGGTAAGACACAAGACATTTGCTAATTTGCTTTGGAATTTAAAATATAATAGCCTTAGCACGAACCATTACTGATCAAAATTCTTCCCTAGATTTTGGTAGAGCCGGATTCCCTCTGTCAATACTTGGTTTTCTGTGTGGACTGTAACTTGTCTTTTTGTCTTTTTCATTACCCATGACTCACTGACTTTCTAAGAGTGTGGATTCGTATGATTGGAGATTCATGCATAGCAGGAGACCCTTACCCTGTTGACTTCATGCTATTTCCTCAGTTTTTGTTTGTTACATTCATTTGTCTTTTTAATCAATTTATGAAATTTGTATAATTTATATAACTACTATATTTTCCTTTATTTGACTAATGACATGTAAATTGATTTCTTAGTGTTATTTTCACATTTCTTCTGACATCTAAGCCGAAAGCATTTAAAAATTATGTGTACTATCTGACACTCCTTTTTTTTTTTGAGAATTAAATAAAATGCTTCGCTGGGGCGCAGCTTGATACGACCGCAGAGGTCGAACCCTGAACAGTTGGGGCAAGTATGGACACAACATTCAAGCTTGATACAGCTCTGAATTTGGATTGTTATTAAATATTTGACACAGCATAGGTTTCTGACACAGAAAGAATGTGGTCTAAGAACTTGAATTTTTTTAATTTACCTATTATGGTCCAATGTCCAAAATCAAAATACATGGTTAGATTCAGCATATCAAAGAACCCCATATATTCAATTTTTCTTAAAATCAAACAAAGTTTAATTTTGGACCCCAACTTGGACAAACTTGAAAACTGGGCCCATAATCAAAAATCTAAACATATGTTTAGATTCAGCATATCAAAGAACCCCAAGAAATCAATTTTTGCTAAAATCAAACTAAGTTTAATTTTGGACCCTTTAGACCTTAATGTAGACCAATTTAAAAAACAGGACTTAAAATTAAAAATCTAAATACACGGTTAGATTTGGAATATCAAAGAACCCCAATAATTCAATTTTTGATGAAATCAAACAAAGTTTAATTTTGGACCCTTTTGACCTCAATATGAACCAATTTGATAGCGGGGCCCACAAATAAAAAATCTAAATTCATGGTTAGATTCAGCATATCAAAGAACCCCATATATTCAATTTTTGTTGAAATCAAAAAAAGTTTAATTTTGGACCCCAACTTGGACCAACTTGAAAACTGGGCCCATAATCAAAAATCTAAACACATGTTTAGATTCAGCATATCAAAGAACCCCAAGAATTCAATTTTTGTTAAAATCAAACTAAGTTTAATTTTGGACCCTTTGGACCTCAATGAAGACCAACTTAAAAAACGAGACCCAAATTAAACATCTAAAAACACGGTTAGATTTGGCATATCAAAGAACCCCAATAATTCAATTTTTGATGAAATCAAACAAAGTTTAATTTTGGACCCTTTTGACCTCAATATGAACAAATTTGATAGCGGGGCCTACAAATCAAAAATCTAAATACATGGTTAGATTCAGCATATCAAAGAACCTCATATATTCAATTTTTGTTGAAATCAAACAAAGTTTAATTTTGGACCCCAATTTGGACCAACTTGAAAACTGGGCCCATAATCAAAAATCTAAATACATGTTTAGATTCAGCATATCAAAGAACCCCATATATTCAATTTTTGTTGAAATCAAACAAAGTTTAAATACTGGACCCTATCTTGGACCAACTTGAAAACTGGGCCCATAATCAAAAATCTAAACACGTTTAGATTCAGCATATCAAAGAACCCCAAGAATTCAATTTTTGTTAAAATCAAACTAAGTTTAATTTTGGACCCTTTGGACCTTAATGTAGACCAATTTAAAAAACAGGACCCAAAATTAAAAATCTAAATACACGGTTAGATTTGGAATATCAAAAAGCGCCAATAATTCAATTTAAGATGAAATCAAACAAAGTTTAATTTTGGACCCTTTTGACCTCAATATGAACCAATTTGATAACGGGGTCCACAAATAAAAAATCTAAATACATGGTTAGATTCAGCATATCAAAGAACCCCATATATTCAATTTTTGTTGAATTCAAACAAAGTTTAATTTTGGACCCCAATTTGGACCAACTTGAAAACTGGGCCAAAAATCAAAAATCTAAATACATGTTTAGATTCAGCATATCAAAGAACCTCATATATTCAATTTTTGCTAAAATCAAACAAAGTTTAATTTTGGACCCTTTGGACCTTAATGTAGACTATTTTGAAAACTGGACCCAAAATTAAAAATCTAAATACACTGTTAGATTCGGCATAACAAATAAATAAATGTGATCAAAGATATTACAAATCTAATGGGCCATACTGTGCAATTAAAGATTACTTCTTGAAATTTTTCAATATTTGAAATTTGAAAAAAAAAAAATATTTGAAGAATAATTCTTTTTAATTTCTGAAATCTGAAATGAGAAAAAATTGACCCCCCACAATTTCTTTTTATCCCCCCCCCCCTTTTTTCCCCCAAAAAATTCTTTCCCTCAAGATATGGTCATAATCTCAATTCCAATTTCCAATGGAGTTGGCAACCATAATTACCCATTTAATTTTACCATAGTGCTAACTTAATCTATTTTATAATAGAATTAAAAATATAGTGTCAAATCTTTCATATAGATTTTTTTGTAAAATAAAATGATGCAACATTTGCAGATATTTTTACTGGTCTTCCTTTATAAATATGCATTTCTTTAAACATAATTTAAAAGCAGTGTAAGGGAAGTAACCAAAACGTTGTATTTGGATTACCTCCCTTACACTGTTTTAAATTATCTTTATTGTTCATTAACCATTACTTTATACATAATTTAAAAGCAGTGTAAGGGAGATAATTTCAATGATGTATTTGATTTATCTCCCTTACACTGCTTTAAATTATGTTTTGTACTAAAGTATTTGTCCATTAACCAGGACAACCTTGTTTTTCCCCCTTTTTTGCCCCTAATTCCTAAACGGTTTGAGCCATAACCCCCCAAAGCAAATCCTAACCATCCCTTTGTGGTATGGAAACTTGTAGTATAATTTCAGAGAGATCCATACACTGTTCCACAGTTATTGTCTGGAAACTAGAAAATGCTTATTTTTGGCCCCTTTTTGGCCCCTAATTCCTTAACTGTTGGTACCATAACCCCCAAAATCAATCCCAACCTTCCTTTTGTGGTATTTAACCTTATGGTAAAATTTCAAAAAGATCCATTCACTTAAACTAAAGTTAGAGTGCGAAAACCAATGTGTATTCGGACGACGACGCAGGACGACGACGACGCCAACGTCATACCAATATACGACCACAAAAATTTTTTTGCGGTCGTATAAAAATCATGCGTTCTATCTGACCCTTCCCCCCCCCCCCCCCCCCCCCAACCTTTTTTTTTTTTGTGTTTTGAAAATTCCTGAAAAAAGTAAAAGACTGACCTGGCATAATTAACTAAGTTTAACAATGGCGTCTCCATCAGCTGTACCACAGGTAATGGTCCTTTCACTGTCAATAGTGGAATTTTAGGAAACACAACTGTGCCCTCCTCAATAGCAAATAATGTTACTGTTTTTGTGTTTAATTCTTTCAGATATTCAAAAAATTCTTCTTCGACAGAAGTTGGCATCACTGATTTCAGGTACTTTATATCTGCAAAAGAAATAAACACAGTTATCACGATAAACATGATAAAATTTTGCAGCCACAGACCCGATGCTAGTTTCGTATGGATTTTATTGGCCGATAGTAGAAATTCTTACAGGCCTGATAGTAATTTTACAAGCCTTGGCTGGTGGGCCTGTGGCCAACCGTGAAGACTGTAAACAGTATGGTAATCTCATGTTCTTAAAACTTCATAGAGAACTTAGAAAAAGAAGGATACATGTATGTAGTGTTATTCCAAATGAGACAAATATCCATCAGAGACTTAAAGATGAGGATATGATTCTAGTGGGAACATCAATACTTCTGTACATTTTAAAAAATTAGAATCAACAAATTGCAAAGACATTTGATATTGCCAGAAGAATTTAATTCCTGCATCAAATGTAGTTTGCAAAGCATCTAGCAACAGCCACTGTGGCTTAGAGTTTTCTAGTAAAACTATTAAAACTTTAATGGTAGAAATATAGCATGGTAGATGAACATCTTTATTTGATTGGTAAATTAATAATACTATTGTCAATTTAAATTTCTATCAACAATAAAAATTCTCACCACTTTCTGTAAACTTGAAATTCTGAATGAATTTGACACACTCCTCCAAACCAGCAAACACGGTGAACTCTCCTTTAAATGGATTACGTCTAAAGTACAAATCAAACACAGCCACGTCGTTCATCTTTCCACTCTTCCAGTAGGCATATGCCATGGTGATCTGGTACAGATCTGAAAACATAAAATATATATAATCACTTATGCCTTAAATTAATTTTAATCTTAAATAAATCTAAACTAGTCATCATGGTCATATTTATGAGCCTTCATACCAGGGAAGTGACCTTGTATATGGCATAAATATGATAAACATGTTTGTAGTTCCTTGAATTTTTTGTTTCAGAAACTAATGCATTCTGGGTAATATTTTCAAACATGTTTAGATTGGATAACAACATCTTGGACAATGGAAATTCAACCAATGACATGACATTATTTTCATTCTGGGTCAAGAACAATAATGCATAGGAAATATGACTATGTAAACCTGAAATCAAAAATGTCTCCAAACAAAGCTGTCAGTGTAAAAGTGTAATGTTGACTTTAAAGTGAGTCCATTTATCAGTAAAATACAGAATTTTTTTTAAAAATCACACTTTTTCTATAGATGCTATTTCTTGGTCTTGAAGATGAGCTTTTGTCCAAGTTTCATAACAATTCATGAAGGTTTACAAATTCATCATGTAAAATAAATTTAATCCCAGACTGTCTGTAAATGTTAACTGTAACTAGAGGCTCTCAAGAGCCTGTGTCGCTCACCTGACTCTACTTTGGTTTTAGAAATCATGTAAAGATAGATAAAAATCATAACAGATACCCAAATAATGATTGAGGCCAAATTTTGATTAATATTGGTCCCGTTATTTAATAAAATATCCTGGTGGCCATCTTGAACAGTAAATCTGCAACAAAGTAGCAACACTTGGTCAGCACTTCATAAGGAACATTCATGCCATGTTTGGTTTCATTCCATTCAGTGCTACTCTAAAAGAAGACATTTGTATGTATTTCCCATAGGGTCCTATGTAAAAACTAAGGCCCCCCCCCCCCCCCCCCCCCCCCTAGCGGCCATCTTGGATGATGGATCGACTGCAAAGTAACAACACTTGGTCAGCAACTCATAAGGAACATTCATGCCATGTTTGGTTTCATTCCATTCAGTGGTTCTCTAAAAGAAGACAATTGTATGTATTTCCCATAGGTCCTTTGTTAAACTAAGTCCCCTGCTGTCGGCCATCTTGGATGATAGACCGACTGCAAAGTAACAACACTTGGTCAGTACCTCAAAAGGAACATTCATGCCATGTTTGGTTTCATTCCATTCAGTGGTTCGCTAAAAGAAGACATTTGTATGTATTTCCCATAGGTCCTTTGTTAAACTAAGTCCCCTGCTGTCGGCCATCTTGGATGATGGACCGACTGCAAAGTAACAACACTTGGTCAGCACCTCATAAGGAACATTCATGCCATGTTTGGTTTCATTCCATTCAGTGGTTCTCTAAAAGAAGACATTTGTATGTATTTCCCATAGGGTCCTATGTTAAACTAAGTCCCCCGCTGGCGGCCATCTTGGATGATGGATCGGCTACAAAGTAACAACACTTGGTCAGAACCTCATAAGGGACATTCATGCCATGTTTGGTTTCATTCCATTCAGTGGTTCTCTAAAAGAAGACATTTGTATGTATTTCCCATAGGGTCCTATGTTAAACTAAGTCCCCTGTTGGCGGCCATCTTGGATGATGGACCGACTGCAAAGTAACAACACTTGATCAGCATCTCATAAGGAACATTCATGCCATGTTTGGTTCCATTCCATTCAGTGGTTCTCTAAAAGAAGACATTTTTATGTATTTCCCATAGGGTCCTATGTTAAACTAAGTTCCCCGATGGCGGCCATCTTGGATGATGGATCGGCTACAAAGTAACAACACTTGGTCAGCACCTCATCAGGAACATTCATGCCATGTTTGGTTTCATTCCATTCAGTGGTTCTCTAAAAGAAGACATTTGTATGTATTTCCCATAGGGTCCTATGTTAAACTAAGTTCCCCGATGGCGGCCATCTTGGATGATGGATCGGCTACAAAGTAACAACACATGGTCAGCACCTCATAAGGAACATTCATGCCATGTTTGGTTTTATTCCATTCAGTGGTTCTCTAAAATAAGTCATTTGTACACATTTCCCATAGGGTCCTATGTTAAACTAAGTCCCCCGCTGGCGGCCATCTTGGATGATGGATCGGCTACAAAGTAACAACACTTGGTCAGCACCTCATAAGGAACATTCATGTCATGTTTGGTTTCATTCCATTCAGTGGTTCTCTAAAAGAAGTCAATTGTATGCATTTCCCATAGGGTCCTATGTTAAACTAAGTCCCCCGCTGGCGGCCATCTTGGATGATGGATCGGCTACAAAGTAACAACACTTGGTGAGCACCTCATAAGGAACATTCATGCCATGTTTGGTTTCATTCCATTCAGTGGTTCGCTAAAAGAAGACATTTGTATGTATTTCCCATAGGTCCTTTGTTAAACTAAGTCCCCTGCTGTCGGCCATCTTGGATGATGGACCGACTGCAAAGTAACAACACTTGGTCAGCACCTCATAAGGAACATTCATGCCATGTTTGGTTTCATTCCATTCAGTGGTTCTCTATAAGAAGACATTTGTATGTATTTCCCATAGGGTCCTATGTTAAACTAAGTCCCCCGCTGGCGGCCATCTTGGATGATGGATCGGCTACAAAGTAACAACACTTGGTCAGCACCTCATAAGGAACATTCATGCCATGTTTGGTTTCATTCCATTCAGTGGTTCTCTAAAAGAAGACATTTGTATGTATTTCCCATAGGGTCCTATGTTAAACTAAGTCCCCTGCTGGCGGCCATCTTGGATGATGGACCGACTGCAAAGTAACAACACTTGATCAGCATCTCATAAGGAACATTCATGCCATGTTTGGTTCCATTCCATTCAGTGGTTCTCTAAAAGAAGACATTTTTATGTATTTCCCATAGGGTCCTATGTTAAACTAAGTCCCCCGCTGGCGGCCATCTGGGATGATGGATCGGCTACAAAGTAACAACACTTGGTCAGCACCTCATAAGGAACATTCATGTCATGTTTGGTTTCATTCCATTCAGTGGTTCTCTAAAAGAAGACATTTGTATGTATTTCCCATAGGGTCCTATGTTAAACTAAGTTCCCCGATGGCGGCCATCTTGGATGATGGATCGGCTACAAAGTAACAACACATGGTCAGCACCTCATAAGGAACATTCATGCCATGTTTGGTTTTATTCCATTCAGTGGTTCTCTAAAAGAAGTCATTTGTACGCATTTCCCATAGGGTCCTATGTTAAAATAATTCCCCCGCTGGCGGCCATCTTGGATGATGGATCGGCTACAAAGTAACAACACTTGATCAGCATCTCATAAGGAACATTCATGCCATGTTTGGTTCCATTCCATTCAGTGGTTCTCTAAAAGAAGACATTTTTATGTATTTCCCATAGGGTCCTATGTTAAACTAAGTCCCCCGCTGGCGGCCATCTGGGATGATGGATCGGCTACAAAGTAACAACACTTGGTCAGCACCTCATAAGGAACATTCATGTCATGTTTGGTTTCATTCCATTCAGTGGTTCTCTAAAAGAAGACATTTGTATGTATTTCCCATAGGGTCCTATGTTAAACTAAGTTCTCCGATGGCGGCCATCTTGGATGATGGATAGGCTACAAAGTAACAACACATGGTCAGCACCTCATAAGGAACATTCATGCCATGTTTGGTTTTATTCCATTCAGTGGTTCTCTAAAAGAAGTCATTTGTACGCATTTCCCATAGGGTCCTATGTTAAAATAAGTCCCCCGCTGGCGGCCATCTTGGATGATGGATCGGCTACAAAGTAACAACACTTGGTTAGCACCTCATAAGGAACATTCATGTCATGTTTGGTTTCATTCCATTCAGTGGTTCTCTAAAAGAAATCAATTGTATGCATTTCCCATAGGGTCCTATGTTAAACTAAGTCCCCCGCTGGCGGCCATCTTGGATGATGGATCGGCTACAAAGTAACAACACTTGGTCAGCACCTCATAAGGAACATTCATGCCATGTTTGGTTTTATTCCATTCAGTGGTTCTCTAAAAGAAGTCATTTGTACGCATTTCCCATAGGGTCCTATGTTAAAATAATTCCCCCGCTGGCGGCCATCTTGGATGATGGATCGGCTACAAAGTAACAACACTTGATCAGCATCTCATAAGGAACATTCATGCCATGTTTGGTTCCATTCCATTCAGTGGTTCTCTAAAAGAAGACATTTTTATGTATTTCCCATAGGGTCCTATGTTAAACTAAGTCCCCCGCTGGCGGCCATCTGGGATGATGGATCGGCTACAAAGTAACAACACTTGGTCAGCACCTCATAAGGAACATTCATGTCATGTTTGGTTTCATTCCATTCAGTGGTTCTCTAAAAGAAGACATTTGTATGTATTTCCCATAGGGTCCTATGTTAAACTAAGTTCCCCGATGGCGGCCATCTTGGATGATGGATCGGCTACAAAGTAACAACACATGGTCAGCACCTCATAAGGAACATTCATGCCATGTTTGGTTTTATTCCATTCAGTGGTTCTCTAAAAGAAGTCATTTGTACGCATTTCCCATAGGGTCCTATGTTAAAATAAGTCCCCCGCTGGCGGCCATCTTGGATGATGGATCGGCTACAAAGTAACAACACTTGGTTAGCACCTCATAAGGAACATTCATGTCATGTTTGGTTTCATTCCATTCAGTGGTTCTCTAAAAGAAGTCAATTGTATGCATTTCCCATAGGGTCCTATGTTAAACTAAGTCCCCCGCTGGCGGCCATCTTGGATGATGGATCGGCTACAAAGTAACAACACTTGGTGAGCACCTCATAAGGAACATTCATGCCATGTTTGGTTTCATTCCATTCAGTGGTTCTCTAGAAGAAGTTCAAAATGTAAAAAGTTAACGCCGACGACGGACGACGCCGGACGACGGACGCCAAGTGATGAGAAAAGCTCACTTGGCCCTTCGGGCCAGGTGAGCTAAAAAGTGAAGTCCATTTATCAGAAAAATACTAAAAATGAAAAAAATATATTATTTTCAAATGCTTGCTTCAGACATTAT